CTTCTTGGGAAATAATTAAGTTAAAATTTAAATCTCACTGCCTGTTTGAAATGAGACAACACACGTAACCCAAATGAAAAAATTAAATTACAAGCAGTCCTCAGTTAACAACAATAATAGTAATTGGGACTTCTGTTGCTAAGTGATGCAGTCATAAAGCACAATGTCACATGACTGCCCTGACATATAATGGCAATGGTTGTCATTATTAGGTGAATCCTGTGTTGTCATTAGGCACAATGTCATATGATTTTGTGTGTGTGTGTGTGTATGTGAGTGTGTGTGTGTGCATGCACGCACAAGCACACACAGGATTCACAGGATTCACCTAATACACATGCACACACACACACAGACACGCACACACACACACACACACACACAAATTTGACCACCTGATTTGACTATATTTTCACACAGGCAATTCCAGGTTACATAAATTCTGATGGCATCTTGATTTTATGACCAAGATGAAAAAATGAACAAAGGGGCAGCTATGGTTTTGTATAATGCACAGCATGCAATCAAAACCCTTACAACTGCCTGTGTATGAAAATTTTGCAAGGCCAGCATGCAGTATTCATTACATATGCAAGGGAAAATACAGGGACTATTTAAAGCATAACATCTGCTATTACTCACTGAGCTCGTTGAGCCGCCAGCAATTCATTTTTTGCAAATTCAAAATCCTTTGGACCCTCCTCAGGAAAAGAAGTCCTAGAAGACAATTTTTTTATCTTCTGAACTTCAGCTGGATGATTAAATCGGAAATAATGATCACCTCCAAGGATGATGCGATCACCCTAGGAAATTCAGATAGTATTGAATTCAGATCAGCCTGTAGAAAATTTCTGCAGAGTACAGGCAGTCCTCAAGTTAAAACAGTTCATTTAGTGACCACTCAAAGTTACCACAGCACTGAAAAAGGTGACTTACCACCATTTTTCACAGTTATAACCATCGTAACATCCCCATGGTCGCATGATTAAAATTCAGATGCTAGGCAATTGACCCATAGTTTTGACTGTCACAGTGTTCCAGGGTCACGTGATCATTTTGGGCGACCTTCTGACAAACAAAACCAGTAAGGAAGTCCAATTCTCTTAACAGCCATGTTAGTAACTTAACAACTGCAGATTTAAGAGAGGTTGTAAAATTGGTCAAAATTAACTTAGCAATTGTCACTTAGCAATGGAAGTTTTGGGCTCAATTGTGGTATAATTTGAGGACTACCTGCATAGAGGGATAGTCTATTCTAAACAAGTGCATGAACTTAAACTTGAAAACCACGTGTAAATAAATAGATTTACAACTGTGCCTAGTGACTTACATGATGCAGAAGTGTAGCTCCTGAAATGCATTCCCCATTAACATATGTCTTCGCTTCTCCAACAGGAACAATACTCACAATGCCCCCCTTATGTCTGATAATGCTACAAATTAAACAAAATCAATTAACAAAATCAATTAACAAAATCAAGACATAAATGTTGATTGCATCTGAATAGCAATGCATAATCAGCTCTTCTGAATGTGATCAAAATCGGTGGAATGTTTGGTTCATTTGCTATGCTATCAATCATCCCCTTTGACATGATTTCCATTTTTGTACTGTTGTCTAAGGCTATTGTTTTACCAACTTTGCAGAACGAGTTTCATGTTTAGAGGAGTCACGGCTACCATCTAAGAAATACGAAATGAACAGATTTTAGAAAAGCCATAACATGTCACAAAGACATCATGATCTGATAGGCAGAGCTTGAAAAGGCTCATAGTAAGGAACCCAGGAAATTCGTGAGAAATAGGCTGCAGGCAGTCTGTTACAATAGCAATAGGAATAGCACTTAGACATATACACCACTTCATAGTGCTTTACAGCCCTCTCTAAGCGGTTTATAGAATCAGCATACTGCCCCCAACAATCTGGATCCTCATTTTACCGACCTCGGAAGGATGGAAGGCTGAGTCAACCTTGAGCTGGTGAGGTTTGAACCGCTGGCAATCAGTAGAATTAGCCTGCAATACTGCATTCTAATCACTGTGCCACTGCGGCTCTTGAAAATGAAAGAACTGGAAAAGGAATTCAGAATTTAAACCGTGGGACACAAAGATGGACAGCTAATCTTAGATTCTGTAGAAGCTGATCTTCATCATTACCAAAGCTTTTAATATCTACAAAAATGAACTTACCTAATCAATCCAAGTCCTTGACTCCCTTGTGAGAGCTCGAGTGTGGTGTCAGAGTGTTTGCAGCTACTGTTGTGAGCTACTATTGTGAGACAACCCAGGAGCACAACACAGCACACAGAGCCTTTGTCTTTTAACAGTGGTTTAAATACAAAACAGCTGTATACATACATATACGAGGTAGGCAAATACCTGGCAAGCAATCAATCTTTACTCTGCAAGGAGAACCACAATGGAGACAGAGCATAAGGAGAGAGAGATACGCCCTCTCATGGCCTCATATATATATATATAGACAGCTTCTTAAAATGGTAAAACCCTGTGGACTCACCCTCAAGTCTTAAAGTAGCAATAACCATGCTGATTCATCCTCATTGCATCAGCCTTACAACAGCTGATCAGCTATTAAATCTCAATACCTTAACATGTGGTGTGAGTTCCTACACAGAGAATTATTATATAACGAATCTGTTAGTATTTATGAATAGCTCGTCCAATTCCACACATTGTATCCAAGACAACAATGTGTGAGAATTTAATTCTTTTTAGTGGGATATTCTGCTACCTAACTTCTCAGAATTTTTTTTTGCCCTCCGCTTATGTTCAGAAACATATCCTCTTTCAACAACTGCTGAATTCAAATCACCAGCAAAGAAGAGACACAAGTTATTTTTTACTCCTTATTTCTTCATTTAGTACATACCAGTGGTCATCAGCAATTAAGATGCCAGACAGCTGAATATCATGACATGAATTTGGCTTGCATTTCCCAACTGTAGTTTCTCCTTTCTTAATCATGTACAATAACATCTCAGACAGTTGAGGATCTTCGTTAAGATTAACCAAATTAGGCAAACTGTTATCCACCTTGAATGTAATGCCGGCTTTCTAAAACAAAGAATTAAGAAAGTGAGCAATGTGTATTTGGGATTTGAAAATGGTTTGTTAGTAAAAGTTGAGTTGTTATATTATTTGTAACTTTTAAAAAACAAGGCTCGTCTTCTGCAATTTCGTACCTTCTAGACTTACTGAAATTCTACTCCCACTTTAGTATAAATAATGGCTCAGAATTATGTGAGACAAAGTATCTGAAGCAAAAGCTTTATCCATAGATAAATTTATCCAGGATTATTAACAGCAACTAGTTGTAACAAAGAATAGTACCTGTAATTCCATTGTTTCCTCAAACTTCTTTTTTTCTACTTGTTCAAGTTTTTCTTTCCAGGCCCTTTAACACAAAATAAAAAGATCACCTGATACTACTAAATAATACACTTAAAACATAGAACAAGTTCCATGGTAAGAAGTTAAAAATGAACATGTAAATCCAACAGAACAGTCTTTTGTGTCCTTGTTTATTATGGAAACATAGCTGTAAAAAAACAAAAGCAGCATAATCTCATGACAGAATTTTTTTCAAACATCCAGGAAAAAAGTAGGACTTTAAAATAGAATCAGTAATTATATACTATTTAAAATTTAATTATGTGAAAAAATTGAACTATAGTATATATGCAATATGTATACAGATTTACTATGCAATAGCCAATGAACATAATGAAGCAAATAGTGCCAAGTTTGGTGTTAATTCCCCAAACTATCGATCGATCAATCTATCTATCTATGATATAGATATATTACAAATTGTTACTATAATAAAGAATAATGGTTAAGTTATGTCAGTCATGGGCTGAAGCATGATTAACTTGCTTCATAAATTAAACCATAAATCTCTAAAATCCCATTGACTTGCATATCAAATTGCAACGAGCAGTCTGAATCAAATCTAATGTATTTAAATTGTTAAACTTCATATCTAGTATCTATCAAAGTGTACTTACTAATATTTTTCATTAACGTTTCTTTGATAGGGTCATATATATTGTATTTTACAGTGGAAAAAACGGGGAAGAAATCATTTTCTTTACAAGCTTAAATTGTCAGTGATTCATTATTGCAACCTTATAATTTCCCCTTTTAAGATCATGCATTACCTTTGCATCTCAGCCATCTCCCGCTCTTGATGGTGTAGCTTCATTCTTAAAGATGTAATTTCCTGCATGTAAAGTCTCTGCTTTTCAGGATCAATATTTGGAGCATTCTTCTGAGCCAATTTCAGTTTCTCAATCTCATCTTTCAATTCTATATTCAACAAAAAAGGCTCAACAATTACTCATAAGCCAATCTTCTGGTAGCAGTGTTTTGATAATCTTTCTCAGAAAGAGGTTAAAGTGTCATCTCATTAAAAAAAATAGTTGTGCCAGATAAAAGTAACAATTAGGCTGCATTCAAAAGCAGATTTGAAGATGCAGAAGGCATTTTATGTTCATCTAAAAATCATATTAAATTAATTACTCCCAACATGTGACTATACAGGTAGTCTTTGACTTACAATCATTCATTTAATGGCCAATCGAAGTTACAACAGCACTGAAAAAAGAGACATGACTATTTTTCACTCTTATGGCTGCTGCAACATCTCCACGATCACATGATCAAAATTCAAATGTTTGGCATATTTATTGGTTCATATTTATGATGTTTGTAGTGTCCCAGGGCCATGTGATGATCTTTTGTGCCCTTCTGACAAGCAAAGTCAATGGGGAAGCCAAATTCACCTAACAACCAGGTCACTAATTCAACAACAGCAGTGATTCACTTAACACTGCTGTGGCAAGCAAAATTATAAATGGGGCAAAGCTCACTTAACAACTGTCTCACTTAGCAAAAGAAATGTTGGGCTCAATTATACTCTAATTCAAGGACCACTTGCACATTCACTGTGCCTCCACCCCAAAAGCATGATCCCTACCAGCCTTCTACAGATGCAGCATAAAATGTTGGGTCTTCACATTCCAGATATGAGGTAATATATGAGGAAGCTACAATCGTCTGTTTCTATCTTGAACAATGTGCAGCCCAAAATTATGTTGAACTCAAACTGTAGTTAGTCTTAAGTGTGATTTTCTAAAATAAATCTATTAATTTAGTTTAGAATAGCCACTGTAGGAGAGTAGACAGTACCAGGCAGGTAAGGGTTTAGTCCAAACTCTTCATCAATTGAGTGATTTGGGACCATCAGGTTCTCTCAGCCCAGTTCATTTAAAACGATTGTTTTTATGGAGATAAAATAAGGGAAGGTCCCCCATGTATACCAATTTGAGTTGCACAAGGAAACCTGGGATATAAATGTAACACTTTCAACCAAACAAAAGTGGCATTTTAAGAAAATATAAAATTCAGATATAATTCAGATTAAGACTTTAAAACATAAAACTTGGTTGGGTTCTAAGGACAGAACTATAACCTTAAATTTAGGAACCATCAATGTATTCAAGTAGTCTTACCATCAAACAGGATCTAATTTGCAAGTTCAGCGAGGTTTAACTATTGTTCAACAGTTAATAAGCTTTGGCTAATGAATTGGTGAAACCAATTTCAAATTGCTCCTACAAAAATACATATTCTCTAGTAAAATCACACACATCTTGGCACAGGAAAAAAATATATGAGTGATTTAGACAAATAATTAGAATTATCATTCTTACCCTGAATTAACTTCATATTCATATCTTCATTCACTTTGGCAGTGTTGATTATGAAACAAGCTTGCTTAGCATATCGAAGAGTACTGAGTGTTTCTTCTACATTGCTGGCAGCAGGGCTGATGGTGGCAATCATAGAAGTTTTTGAATTTCCACCTAGACTTTCCTTTAGCAGCCTTTGTTTGAAAGAGAATAAAATCACAAATGTGTGTATTGTCTGCAGTTTTAAAAAGGGACAATAATAATAGTTAAAATCCAATCCAATTAAGGCTAAGCCAACATATTTCTTCACTCATGGTATCAGATCTTTGCACTATTCCACCAATCAAATCAATATCATCTGCCTTTCTTTGATCTTCAGTTTGATCATTTGCTAGGGTCAGGAGAACTGCAGAATCTTTCTGGGGCATTCTATCCTCCAGTTAAACTTCAAAAGGGACAGATGTCCAGAAGCCTTTTTAACATTGTAGATGGTCCTTGGCCTATGAACACAATGCCCATTATGATCATAAGTCATCCACATGTCCAACAAGATTTTGGCCCTGCTTGTTGAATGTCAATGTGGCAGTTGTTAAGTGAACCAATGATTCACTATGGGAAGTTTTTGCTGTAAACTGGAAATAAACAACCATAAATACAGCCCAGCATCCCAGATGCGATCACATATGTGTAGGGAGAGCATCTGTCAGAATTTCAAAACTGGGCCTAGGAACCCCCACAGAGGTCTGCCATAACTTCAAATAGGTTGCTAAGCAACTGATTGTAAATTGAAGACTACCTGTACTTATTTCCCTGATATATCTCTCCCTTTAGTACCATAAGAACTAGTAAAGGAAAAGTAATGCTAATAGTTAGAGAAGTTTCATTAGGTTTGTGATGCTGTATTAGGATTACAAATAAGCTGTAGATTTATTTGACAAACAGCGTCATACCTGCTGATCAAAGTACACTCAAAGTACGCTCAATATACCGCAGGCTTTCGATAATAGAATGGCTGGGACACTAGATAAAAAGCAGTATCTAATTTGGCTTTGAAGCTCCTGAAGAAGCTATTGAAATGAGCTTCTGGGACTGACAGACTTGAACCACTGCCTTCCATCTACCAAATATTAAGATATTATTCATTTTTTATCCAGGTGTATCAATCAATGCAGATTAAATAAAATACTGTATATATGGGATGCCACTGTACTCTTATGTATTCCAATCCTTTCTGAAAAACTTAGAAAGTTAGGTTAATATAGAAATCCTTATAAATATATATTAACTTTAGTCTTTGTTAGGAATAACATAGGCTACCTAACATAGTTTGGGTAAAATAATATATATAAACTATGATTGTAAGTTTAAGTGTGTGTCACTTTAAACTGCAAAGCATGTAATTTTGGGTGCGGTTGTGAACCGCCATAAGAGGGAGCAAGAGTCCCTGACGATTGCTGACAATTACTGGATTGCATGGATTGATGGTTTGTTAACTGCGTGTTTCCTACTGCTGAGTTGCTGAAGGAAGAAAGGGGTTTTTGACTTCTTCATATCTCTACTGTGAGAGAAGATATATTACTGGACTGATATTTGTAAGTTTACTGACCTCTCTTTTTCGACACTGGAATTTGCAACTGAATAATCCCTGGACGGACTGAACTAGTGAATGATATATGGACTGTTTGACTATGCTATAACTCTTACTGGAATAAACTATTTAACTAGCACGGTGTATCTGTTTTACTGAGTGTAAGCTACAAAAACGTTTATCTCACATATTTTGCCTGCCTGCCTGACTGCCGTGCAGATTCTGCTAGGGTGTATCCCTAACAGTCTTAAACTGATCCATTTTATTTTTAAGTTTTAAGCTGATCTCAGATGTTAAATGAACTTTAGGTTCATTTAAGATTGTACAATTTGCATGAGATATGAAAGCCCTTGAAACAAACTTGTAGAACCAAGATTTTTTTTTGTCTGAACTTATTCTCTCTTACAAGTATAGATTCATTGCCTCAGACTAAACCCTTAAATTGAGAAAAATTCTTAAATTATTAAAGGGGACAATGAAATCCTACATGTGTTGTTTGAGACATAAGTCTCAAGTGAGTAAGCAAAGGATTATAACTTCAGGATGAGTAGGTAGGCATAAGATTGTTATTAAGCACCCAAACTCCACTCTTTTGACAAAATATAGGCCTCAAAATATGATGAGGTTGGTAGCGTCATAATATTTTGCTTTCTGGAAAGATGAAAGAATTTAAATACACCGGCAGAAAGATAGAAGGTTTTTTTTGCTAAAATGAATAGAATGCAGTCAGAAACTTAAAAAAGATATACAGGTAGTCCTTGACTTAGGACTACAATTGAGCCCACAATTTCTGTTGCTAAGCGAGACAGTTCTTAAGTTAATTTTGCCCCATTTTACAATCTTTCTTGCCAGTTATTAAATGAATCTGGCTCCTCCATTGACTTTGCTTCTCAAAAGATTGCAAAAAGTGATCACGTGATCCCAGGACACCTCAACTGTCATAAAAATGAGTCAATTGCCAAGCATCTAAATTTTGATCATGTGACCATGAGGATGCAGCAACTGTCATAAATGTGAAAAACGGTAATAATATAAACGGTTCCTTTTTTCAGTGCCGTTATAACTTCAAACAGTCACTAAATGAACTGTTGTAAGTTAAGAACTACCTGTAGACATTAATATTTACTGTCATAACTGACTATTCTTGTAATAACTGAGCAAAAAGTTCAGGACAAATGCCAAATAGGAACCAAAGTTTCTCTTACATTTCTTAGAAACAGGTACGTACCATGTAAGAACAGAGTCACGGTATGGAACAAATAACTTCTTCCTGCTTTGATTTTGCTCAGATAGTGCAGAAATAACTTTCCCCAGAGTTAACAAGGATTTGTTTATGCTTACTCCTTCCTGTATTGATTAAACAGAAACATCAATGCATTTTTGATTTCCCATGGACATAGATTTTTCAGCATTGTAATACTATAGAACAGGAGTGTCAAACTCAAGGCCCACGAGCCAGAGCCAGCCTATGGGGTGCTTAGATCTGGCCCATGGGGCCGCCCTGGAAACAGCAAAGTACTGGCCCAGCAAAAACAAAACCCGGGCAGAGTGAGGGCTCCGTTTTCACTGGCAGAGGGCTGCAGGAAGCCGTCGCAGCCAAAAACGGCGTCCAGAAGGGGCGCTTATGAGCTGCAGGACATCTTGTTGGCCATGCCCCCCTGGCCATGGCTCCCCACAGCCAACCAAGGTTAAACACAACCCTGATGCGGCCCTCATCCCTGCAACAGAACACCTCCAGCCTGGTGCCCTGCAACTTTGCTGGGACTAGAATACCCAGGATTCCCATCAGCATTGCAAATGCCAGTTGGGAACTTTACAAATTGCAACCCCATCACATGGCACTGAATACCATGGAAAAATAGTTAAAGATGTTATACTACTATTTTCTACTCTCAATTTGCAATTAATACCATCAAAAATCAAGGGCGCTACACCTAGATACATTCAGACAAGTCAAATGATATTCAGAGAAATATAATAAAATGATGGTGTCAAGATACATCGATGAGCTGTGGTGGCGCAGTGGTTAGAATGCAGTACTGCATGCAAATTCTGCCCACAGCCTGGAGTTCAATCCTGACTGGTTCAAAGCTGATTCAACCTTCCATCCTTTGGAGGTTGGTAAAACGAGGAACCAGATTGCTGGAGGTGATATGCTGACATTTTAAACCGCCCATAGTGTGCTGTAAAGCACTATGAGGTGGTATCGGGCTGAGGGCGGAGCTGGCGTTGCGACATGCCGCGATATGATATGCAATCTTGGAGGTCTGAGATCTCTGCTGATATCTTTGCTCCTGGACGGTCCAATCGGATCTAAACCATACAGAAGAGACAGTGAAAGTAAAGAGCGCATCCTGTCGATCCCAGGGATACCGCAAAGTCCCTGGTAGATCCAGGAGAAGCTCTTTTTACCAGCGGCAAAGAGGCAGCCATTAAAGCTGGTGAAGTTGGGACAGCTCCGAAACGAAAGAGAACGGAAAGAGAGAGTGCCGGTTTGGTGAGAATTTTTTCTTTATTCTAAGATTTGAAAGGACACCCTAAGGAAAAGAAAGAATCTGTAAAAGTTTTGATAGAAGTGACTAAGCGGCGATTTTAAACAGGAATGTCAAAGTAATATTTTAATTTTTTCTTCTCATTGCTGGATTTTCTACACATGATCTTATATTTTGAAACTGGACTGGTTTTTTCTCTTCTTTTATCTCTTCTTTTTCTCCTTTTTGATTTTATAATATTCTAGGCTAAAGACTCCCTTTTAGTTATTTTTTAAAAATATCTTTTTCTTTTTTTAATTAATTCTTATTGCATTTTGCTTGGAAAAGGAGGGGGAAAGTGAAAGCAAAAGAAACTTTGTAACACTGCCAACTAGAGGCTTGGAAATATTCTATTTCTCTTTTGACCAGACAAAGCTGAGAAAGAACTGAGACTTTTTTTCAAGGACATTGCTATTTGATAAAGATAGAGGGAAGAGTATGGGAGAGTATTATTGCAGGTGCTCTTCTGGGTTTCTATCAACAGCTGGAGTCTGGTGTTGAAGCTTATAGGAAAAGAAAAGGTGATAAGTCTCTGGAGAAGAGAGTTATAACAAGAGCCTTGGATAATTAAACAAAGTGCAGTGTGCTCTTTTTATTTTTTCTAAGCTGCGCTACCCCTCCTCATCAGTTTACTTTTTTGTATTAACTGTTTGGATTTTTGGCCCTTTGGAACTTGCTCTTTAATTTAAAGGAAAAGCTTTAGTATTAATGATTTTCTTCGTTTTCTTTTTAAGGGAATAGCCTTTTTTCTTTTTTTTCCCCTCCCACTCCTTGGTATTTTTATCTTTCCATCTACCTTCCATATTGGCTTTTTTTCTTATTTTTTTGTTTATTTTTCTGGCCTCCTTTTTTTTTCTTAAGCATCCTTTTACATTTGAGACCTGTTAATTGGATTAAGATGTTGAAGAACCTGAAGAATTTTCCCTTTTTTTTATTTTTTTATTTTTCACTTTTCCGCCTTTTTTAGGATTTTACAACTTTTTCCTTTTTGTGTGTGTTTATGGTCTTTTCCTTCATTTTTGAATTTTTACTGCTATCTAACCAATCGATTGGATTAAGGTATACAAGAACCTGAAGAAATTTTTTCTCTTTTTTTATTATTATTACTATTTGGCTTCTTTTTCCCTACTATTTTTATTTGGAATTGCAATTGGTTATTTCGCAATTGGATTAAGGTCTAGAACCTGAAGATTTTGAATTGCTCGAAATGAGTAGGAAATTAACAGCCCCTGGTTCTTCAACCTCTACTTCTTCCTCTCCACCATCTGGAGGACAACGTTCAATATAGACAATGTTACGGCATGAAAAAGAACAAGAAAAAGTGACCCTGCAGATGATTATGCAAGGAATTCAAAATATTCAAACAATAACAGAGAATATTGAAAAGAAAACAGAGAACATCGAACAAAGAACAGGGAAAACCGGTGAAAAGGTGGAGAACATCCAACAAATGATGATGAAGTACGATGAGAGACTCCAAAAAATTGAAGAAGATAAACAAAGAGACAGGAAGATTGGAGATATTGATAACAGATTAACTGTGGTTGAACAAGATAAAAGTGGTATGCTGAGATGGGAGATGGACAGATCAGAATTTTATCTTAGATTCCAAAACATAGAGGAAGAAAAGGGACAAAACCTAGCTGAGATAATGATAGAAATATTGGCTGAAGCTTTGGAAATAACCGAAGAGAAGATGGTGGATGGAATAGATGAGGTCTATCGAGTCTTCACAAGATATGCAATGAGAAATAGCTTACCAAGAGAAGTTCACATCAGATTTACAAAGAAAGCCATTAAAACGCAAATATTGCAAGTGGCAAGAGAGAAAACATTGAAATACAAAGACAAGGAAATTGTGGTCTTGAAACAAGTACCCAGAAGAGTGAGAGAGATGAGAAGAGAATACCGATTCTTGACCAAAATGCTACTTAAAAAAGAGGTGAATTAGATGGCTGATTCCAGAAGGTTTAATGTTCACAAGGCAAGAACAGAGATATAGAATTGACTCAATTGAGAAAGCTGAATCATTTTACACAGAATCTTTTAGAGGGAAAGAGGAAGAGGCAGAAAAAGAAATTTCACTAATTGAATTCCAAGAGGACTGCCAAATGACGACTGAAAAAGAAGGTGCAGTAGGTGGAAAGGAGGAAGCCAAAGAACACCGTGAACCAAGATCTACGAGAGCTGTTAAACCTAACTACAAAATATAACCATGGAAGAGAAAAAAATTGATTACAATTAATATAAATGGACTTAACTCAGCTGTTAAAAGAAGGAAAACCTTCCATAAATTAGAGAAATTAAAATTTGATATAATCTGCCTACAAGAAGTACATATTAAAAAGCAATATGAACAATTTTTGATACAACCAAAATTAGGGAAAATATTTACTTCCTTGACACAATGCAAGAAAAGAGGAGTGGTTTTATACATTAAAGATATTATCCCAGCGAAATTGATTTATACTGATGATGATGGAAGAATACTAATGGTGGAAATAATGGACAATAATACAAAAACACTCCTTATTGCAATCTATGCCCCGAATGACAATCAAGAATAATTTTATAAAAAGTTACATATCAAAATAATTGAACTGGACTATGCTAATATAGTTATGATGGGAAATTTTAATGGAATTATAGACAATAAACTGGACTATACAGCACAGAAAACAATAAAGCAAAACAGAAAGACCCTCCCTAAATCTTTTTTTAAAATGGTAGATGAAATAAACTTAAAAAATACATGGAGAGAAAGAAATGCTAAAACCAAACAATACACCTTCTACTCAAATGGACATTTATCATGGTCCAGAATAGATATGATATGGATGTCAACAGAATTGTTAACTAATATTCAAGAAAGAAATATTGAAACAAGTACTTGGGCAGATCACAATCCAATGACAATTAAATGGAAAGGACAAAGAAGAAGATCTAGATGGACGTTAAATAATACTATTTTAAAGGAAAAAGACTTCACAGAGTGGATGGAGAAAGAACTGGCTTTTTTCTTTAGAGAAAACAAAAAAGAAGATACATCAATCCAGAACGTATGGGATACAATGAAGGCATATGCCAGAGGCTTGATAATAGACTATACAAGGAAAAGAAATACCATGAAAAGATTAGCCTCTAAGGCATTAGAGGATGAGTATAAAGGACTTGAAAAAGAGCTACAGAAAATGCCACAGAAAATGCCACAGAAAAAGGACATTAAGTTAAAAATGGATATATCCAAACATAAAATGGGTCTAATAGAAAAAGAAGAACTAGCACAGAAAATTAGAGGTGCTAAACAGAACTACTTTGAAGACGCAAATAAACCAGGTAGATGGTTAGCATATAAATTGAGAAAGGAGAAAGAATCAAGGAAAATATTGCAATTAATAGATGATCAAGGACAAGCTTGCTATGGTAATAAAGAGAAGAAGGAAATCATACGAGACTATTATGGGAAACTATACACACAAGAGACTATTGATGAGGAAAGAGTTAAACAGTATTTACAGAATGCTAATCTACCCCAGATACCTAAAGAGATTGAAACAATATTAGAAAGCAATATAACAATGATGGAGTTAACTGGAGCACTCAAGAAGCAAAATAATGGAAAGGCACCAGGCCCAGATGGACTTCCGGCAGAATTTTACAAAACATTACAAGAATCGTTGAACCTTCCATTGCTAGAAGTTATGAATGAAGTTATTTTAAAGAAGAGGATGCTAAAATCATGGTCAGAAGCTTATACTACACTTATTCCAAAAGAGGAGGCCGATCCATTACAAATCAAGAACTATAGACCTATTTCCTTACTAAACACAGATTATAAAATTTTTGCTTCAATATTGGCAGAAAGACTTAAAAAATACTTAAACAATTTTATCCATCCTGATCAAAATGGATTTCTGCCAAAGAGACAAATTAAAGACAATATGAGAGTAATCTTGGACACTTTAGAATACTACGAGGCACATCCTGAAAAACAAATGGCTTTGATATTTTTAGATGCACAGAAGGCATTTGATAATGTGAACTGGTGATTCGTGTTATTACTGCTGGAACAGATGGGCTTTGCTAAAAAATTTATTCAAGCAATAGAAGCTATATATCATAAGCAAACGGCAAAGGTAATGATAGAGGGAGAACTGACAGACTCTATCGATATAAGAAAAGGAACGAGACAAGGGTGCCCACTATCACCTCTGTTGTCTATGTTAACCTTGGAAGTGCTAAATAGAAATATTAGAGATGAAAAGAATATAAAAGGGATGAAAATTAAAAAGGAAGAATTTAAATTGCAAGCATTTGCAATGATCTGGTTTTCATTTTAGAAGACCCACTAGAAACAGCATCAAAATCGATAGAAAAGATAGAGACATATGGAAAGGTGGCTGGTTTGAAAATAAATAAAGATAAGACAAAGATCCTGACAAAGAATATGTTATCAAGACAAAAGGAAGAACTGGCAGATCTACTGAAAATCCAGGTCACGAATAAGATCAAGTACTTGGGGATATATTTGATAGCAAGATGCAGTACACTAAAAGAGAATAATTATATCAAACTTAAGCAGCAGATAGCGCTAGATTTGGTGAAATGGGAAAATTTACAACTGTCATTAATCAGGAGAATATCAACAATCAAGATGAATATATTACCCAGAATTTTATATTTGTTTCAAACAATTCCAATTAGGCTTGGAAAAGATTACTTTGAAAATTTAAACAAAATTGTGTTGAAATATATATGGCAAGGTAAGAAAGCAAGAATAAAGTTAAAACTTTTGCAAGATGCTAGAATAAGAGGAGGATTTGGTTTGCCTAATTGGGGGTTGTATTACCAAGCTACAAATTTGTTGTGGGTTAAGGAATGCATAACATTAAGAAATACTAGATTGTTGACATTAGAAGGACATGATCGGTCGTTGAAGTGGCATGCTTTTTTATGGTATGAAGGAACTAAAACACAGGGGTATTTTAGAAGATATTATATACAGGAGTCTCTGTGGTTAAACTGGGAGAAGATTAAAAGACAATGTTATTTGAAAATTCCAGTATGGCTATTGACTATTGAAGCATTTTCTTATCCTTATAATATACAAAAAGGAACAAACAGTTAGATATGGTGAAATATTGAATGAAAAGGGTGAAGGCTCATATTACCATATGTGGTGGACATGTGCGGATGCTAAAAAATATTGTACTAAAATCCACACGTGGTTGGACAAAATGACAAAAAAGCATATAGATTTGAAACCAGAGATATTTTTATTGGGAATTTTACCTGAAATATATAGTAAAGACTTGAAATACCTGATTGTAAATATATTAACAGCGGCTAGGATTGTATTTGCTAAAAACTGGAAAAATGAGAAAACACCATCACAGGAGGAAATCATTAAGAAAATCTTGGAATGTGCTGAAATGAGTAGATTGACATTTGAAATTAGAGAACAAGATGATAAACAATTTTATAAAATTTGGGATCTATTCCATCAATGGTTAGACAATAAAATATAGTAATGAAATATGTAGATTCTTCGAAAATAATAAATATATAAAGATGTATTCTTTTCTTATTATATCTACAAAATGATTTTAGGATAGATTTGGGATGATAATATGAACCGTCATAAAATAAATTAAGTAAAATATGATTATTTTGTAAAACATGAAAGAATAAAAGTATAGTCAAATGATTAATGATATTAATGTATTTAATATTTGATTGAAAATACGAAATTATATGCAATGTAATTGTAATTGAAGACTACAAAATGGAAGCACAAAACAATTTGTAAACCAACCGGCACACTATATGTATATATATGGAAGATGGCTTGATGTTTTTATGTTTTGTTTGTTTATGTTTGTTTTAAAAACCAACAAAAAATTTTTTAAAAAAAACACTATGAGGTGGCATCTAAGGCTAAGGCGTATAAGTCTACATGGCTGATAGAGTGACAACAGATGTGGTCTTGCAGGAATTGGCTGATTTTCAATTGTTTTTCTTTACACTATTATATGCGGTTATAGGTAGTCCTTGACTTAGGAGTGTAATGAAGCCTGCCCATTACAGTCACAAGTTGTGATGGTCATAAAGTGGGTCACCCATGTGACTGATCTAATTTTCTGACCTTTTTTGTGGCAATTATTAAGTGAATTATTTTTTGTTACGAGTCAAATTTTATAAAAATAGGAAGTAAATGCTGGTTTTTCGCAAAAACACTGTAAAACATGGTCACATGACTATGGGTGCTGCAAACAGCCATGTGGGTCAGCTGCCAAGCATCCCAAATTCGGTCATGTGACCACAGCGGGACAGTTGTCAGAACTTCAGAATCTGGTCATATGTACTCCTGAGGATCATTTGTAACTTCAAATGATCACTGAGAGACCAGTTGTATGTTGAAGACTACCTCTGTAGTGATGCTGATTAATAAATGTGTTTTGATGTTATAGAGTTGGTATTCTTGGTTCTTACTGTGAACTTATACAATTTGAGGGATAGATGATGCTATTGTTTTACACTAACGATTGTTGACATTTATTTTGTGCATGTTACTAACTCAGATTGCTCCTTTTGGAATTGACTCACAGGTTCTAGTCAATTTATTTTATAGACACATTTTAATTTTATCCCAAATTTTATTTACTATCTTTAAAAGACATTTATAACTGCTCAGAGATCACTCATGAACTTCTTGTAGTGGTCTAAGACTGCAATAAACTGACTGATTTCTGCTTGTTTTATTCTTGTAAGCTGCATGGAGCTGGCAATAATTAGATGATGAAAAACTCTTATAAATGATTGTATCTGCTATTTGTTTTGCAATTGAATCCATCAACATTCAAAATGTGCGGCAGTATGCCTGTTTGGTATGGAGAACGAGACCAACAAGGCAAACACTTCCATTAGAAAACTGCCTATATATACATTTTACCTTTAGTCTTTCTCCACTGGTTTGACATGTAGAGCAGCGTTCACTCCCTGCTAAGTCTATTAGATTGACACGACTAATGATTCTGTGTTCGTATTCTTTCTTTTCCACCATCTCTGTCTAAAACAAATAAATATTTCATTACAATTAAACACACTATAAATTCCCCACAGCAATAGATCAGCTTACATATTTATAAAAAATGCAGAAGGATCTCCTCCTTCATACAGCGTGGTTCTCTAACATTTAAAATTTTAATAGCAATAAATAACATGCATAGTCAATAAATGCTGCCAGAGCATTAAAAATGAAAGGATAGAAAGAAAAATCTGTTGCTAAAATCAGAGACTGGTTTTGTTGATAAATACTTACTAAATAGGAACGATTACCAAGTCTGCTGTAGGTTAAAGAGGGCAACGCTCAAGACAAATGAGGATTCTGAAAATTCAAGAGGAAGCAGTTTCCATTTTCTGCTGTAATCCATCAAAAGGGCAAGCTTTCTTTGTAGCCAAAAGAATTTTGATCAGGAGAGGTTGAGAGTCCTGCTCCTTAGAGAAGGCATATTTCATACCCATTTTGTCATCCCTGAAAATCATTTCCTGTCCAAGATAATGACAGCAACCGCTTTCACACAATTTATGACTAGTCACTTAGTGACTGAAATTTTGGAGAACCCTGTTAAAATAGGTACATTTGATCTAAATTTCCAGGGATAGGGAGATCTAAGATAGTAGCAGACAGCAACAGTTGTAAAGAGCTCTTCCAAAAGTAAACAGGTTTTTCTTTTCTTTTCTTTTTTCTATTTTTAACTCACTTTTAAGGCATTATATAACCCAAACAGGTGTTTCTGGCAAAAAAAATGCCCATTGCAGACAATGGATTCACTTAACCATCATCTCATTTCTTAACGATAGTGGACTCATTTAGTGACCATAAAAATTCACTCAATGACCACTGCAAAAAATGTCATAAATCAGGTAAGTTATGTGATGACCCACTTAATGAATGACATGACTTACAGTCCTAATTCCAGGCTCAATTGGGGTTGTAAATTGAGAACTATCAGTATTCCTTGAAGGAATACAGGGTGGCAAAGCTTTTATCCATGGTTATATCTATGATTTTGGACCTCTTGACTGCTCCACTGCAAACAGCTCTGGTACTCAAACAGAACCAGAGAAGTCCAAATGAAATTCCAACTATTTATTAGGTTTCCCATGATTTATTTACTGCACCTGCCTACACGCCCAGAAAATTCTCTCTTTGTATCAAGGAATCCATCTGAGTGAAGTGAGATGTACGCAGGAAGTAGAGAAATTTGAAGAAACTAACCTAGCATGAGTAAAAGTTGTTCCAGGTACCTTCAACCTCATCATTATTTCATGAAATGAGAGATGCTGAGGCCAGAAGATGTTGCTTTTTCATCAGAGAGGCTATTAGAAATTAGAATGGCCCCTTTTGAAATGGTTTTTTGAACAACTTTTTAAAATGAAGGATTTCCAGAGACCCTTGGGGGAGTTAAAATAGTTACCTGTATTTGGATGCCTACTGTCATGGTTTGTCACTGTCAGTCAGTTCAGACTGGAGTTAGCATTTCTGTCTGCCTATTGAGTCCTTCCCAAGGACCTGGCACAGACAGATGTGGGTATTTGATGGTGTTACAGATATCGTTACAGGAAGTAAACAATTCAAAGAAAAGCTACCTTTTGCAATTGACTGATGGTGAATTTGTGAATGCCGATCGTGTTCTACTATCATTATTTTGATTATGATGATGATGGTTATTAGAACAATAAAAGTTTTATTATATTCTGGAAGGTTTTATTGCATTTAATTAGTTTCCTTGACTGCCTACAGCAGGGCTATCAAACTCCTGGCCCATGGGCTGGATGCGTCACGTGCTGGCCATTCCCATGCCTGGTTTAGCAAAGGGGGATAGTGATGCCACCATGACAATGCGAGCTTGACACCCCTCGCTTACAGTATTTTCAGGAATCTTCTCCAACACCAAAAGAATCAGTATTTTTCATATCCTGCTTCTCTGAAGTTCACTTTTGCTTCCATAGAGGTTCATGTAGAATATCATGGCTTGCACTATTCTGATACTGTCTATAACTACAAGCTATCAGAATATTATATCCATATTAAAAAGCAAATCTCCTTCAGAAAAGGAAGTTATTTGATTAACATTTTGAATGTTTGAAAAATCTTATGACAAAGCCACCACCAGCCTATGTACATGACATATATACAACCTTTTAAGACAGTCCTCATAATACCTTGGTTTGTGTTATCACCAATGTGAAAACAGAGTGAGATCGAGAACTCTTGTCATTCATGCCAGTGGCAGCAGTAGCTCTATGTTTATTTCCCAGCTGGAGCCAATTCTGATGAAAAGAAAGGAGGCTCAACTGTTTATAAAGCACTTTGTATCCCATTATTACTTCAAAATAAGCATGAGAACAGCTAATGTGAGTAAAACAGATATAATCATACATATACAACTTAGCTATCGTAGATTACTATATTTTAATCTAATAAAACATTCAAATTGTAAAAGCATTCGTTTGGAAAACAGATACCTAAATCATCTCTGTCTAGTATAAGTGCAATTGTTGGCCCCTCAGAGAAACAGGTGGAGCCTATCTCTCAATCTAATAGTTCACATTGCCTTTCCTTCTTCAGTTGAGTTCTGCTGTCTTCCCAAGCCTTCAGTTGGTCTACACATTAAAATGAAGCTTTCCTCAATCTTCTAGCTACTCACTCTTTCTCAGGGCTACATTTTTTACCTACCCGTAGCATGATAACAACAAATTACTAGATTCTTCTTGGTAAAGAATGGATGGTCTCATCTTGGAGAGTAAATAGGGATGCAAACAGTTGCACTGATTTTTAAAGAAAGCTTCCATGTGCTATTTTATATATGCAGGAGAAACAAGCAGAATTGCTTGCTCAAATAGTCTTTGAACTGCAGCCCTAAAATTAGCTTGTCAGTATTTATTACAGAATTAGTTAGCATTTGTATTTTATGTTTGTCATCTGTTACTTCATTCTTAAAGAGAATCTGTCTTGGAAATTATATGGTATGCGAATTAAAACAGAGCCTGTTTCAAATTCTTGCTGAGTTTGTAAAGAAAATGAATTAAAAATACTGATAATGCAAGGAACTTTCTACCAAGATGCCAGTACTTATTACTAGTTCAAATATTTTAATACCACACAAAAGTCAGCATAATGTAATATACTCTCAGTTACTCTATAATCTTTTCTTTACTATACTTAATGGTTATATCTTTGCATATTCCATTGAAAGATTCATAATTTATATTTAAGTAACAAAATTTTACCTGGATATCGGAGTAAGAACTAACAGCATTCCTAAAAGGAAAGGGATAATTTTATCTAATCAGAAAAACGAATGTTGACAGATATGAAGCAATCTGCTTAAATTATATTTCTTAGTTCTAATAGTATGTTAGTATACAGATATAGATACAGAACAAACACATACTGGTATACTTATTCATAATTTACAAAAGTTTACAGAGGAATCTATTTTTACTTGTTTGTTAGACCACAAGAACCAATTAAATGGGATTACAAGCTAAATATTTTACAATCTAAGTAGAAAAACAAAGCAAAATTTTGGACTCGAGCTTATAATTGACTAAGGAGGAGAATCCACACTGGGTAGACTGAGGTCTGGAAAACTGATTAAGGGACCAAGTTAAAGAGAATCAAGATGGATGTCTATCATATTGGAAGTCTAAATAGTTGATATCAATTTGGAAACAAAACCCGAAAGTCAGTAGGTAAAATAAAATGAAGTCTGGATAAGAGAAGGAAGTTAATGAGAGAGAGAATATCCACAGAAAATTTGATAAGTTGAGGACTAAATTTCATGATTTACAACAGCTATGAAATAAAGGCAGACTTCTTGTTATATTTGGCATCATCAAATAAAGCTGCAGTTCAGTACCCAGGCATTCATAGAAAAATTCAGAAAGTAAAATTGATGGGCTAATCCAAGGATATCCCAAGAGACTTCCTCTTTACACAATCAAACTTCCTATCAATTTTACATCCCCTCCTTATAATTCTTTGCACATTCCCCAAACCAGTTCAAGAGCAGATTTGGAGAAAACGGGAAAATGGAAGAAGAAATCACTTTTCCTGGCAGATACCATTCTATCAGAGAAAAAGCATAATTGGATAATCCCTTACGCTGTCAGGTCTTCCACATATGGTCCAAAGACTGGATGTTCTCTTACACGAAGCTTTGAATTTTAAAAAAAATGCTGATTATAAATGTGAAAGAAATGTTTTAAAAGAATTAATTATTTTTAGTGATTCACTAAACAATTTTTTGTGGCCTCTCAATTCATATATAGGCTGCGTAGAACATTAAGATCTCAGTGAAACACAATAAAAATGTGAAAATTCTCAAAAAAGTTGTTTCACTTTACATTTTATTTATAAACTACGAAGAATATTAATATACTTCACCGTAAGAACTGCATCAGGCAAAACAGCATGCAAATTAAACTTTAAGAGATTTAAAAAGTAAGAGTTAAAACAGAATAGAGCAAAATAACAGACAGAGGAAAAAATAACCTGGACTAGTTATTTAAATTAACATTTTAACTTACAGGTTGTTTCTTCTCTCCATTTTCAGCTCTGAAGATAAGCAAATCATGAATTTTTTCATTATAGACTTCATAGTAGCTGATTTCAAGATGATAAGTTATCTAATAGTGAGAAGAAAAGTTTGATTTCTGGTTAAGTACTTTGGGAAAATATATGATAGTGGAAGCTGCAGAAATGTGACCTAAGGACTTTTTATAACTCAGAGAATCTCCACAGAGGATGAAACCAAACATTTGGGCCTTATTGCTCAATTCAAGGACAGAGGTTTTAAGCTCCTCATAGGCAAAGTAGATGCCTTAAAGCTTACAGATGCTTAAGGCACCAATCTCACAGCCTAAAAACCCTTTCCCAAAATAAGATATGCTCATATCTTAATTAGGATGAATGACCAAACTTATCTTCAAGTGTATAAATGTAGATCCTAACAATTTCTAGGATAAACAAAAATCAAGGATCATTCTCAGATGTTTCTTTCTTCTCCAGTCAGTAATGGTTTAAAATGATACAGTTGTAAACAAGTTTTGATCACTTTTTACAAAAGGCACATTATTCTATTAATACTAGCCAAACTATGAAGTTGGTGATCCAACTTCATAATGCTTGTGAAACAGTTTCAATATATCAATATATGCATCTTGGATGAAATAAAAGCATAGTATGTAAAAACCTTCACCTTAAAGAAATAGAATTGGTTTCTGATCCTATTTGACTACTTTTTTTTTTACAACATATATCAAATCAACAAACCAGTTTTTAAAAATCGTAGCATGCATCTGAAGTTAAGTTTTCATACTAAAAGACTTTAGATGGCATAAAGTTTACCTGCATCACATTGTTCTTTATATGCACTTTTATAAATGTTAGCTTCTATCTACCTCAGCTAAGGAAGACTTATCACAACTGAAGCACTACATGAAGAAATTTTATTTTAATTCCATCTGAATTCCAGAAACTAATGATGAAATGCACATTTAATTATTACAGGCTAAAAAAAAATACTTCAATTCCAAACTGACGAGGATGTAAGTATCACAGTACCTGTTCTGTTTCTTTTTCTGCTATTTGATAGAAAAGGTCTTGACAGAATCTCGGTATTATTCCTCGTTCATCGTCATCAAACCCCATCATGCTGTAATGACAATTTAAATATATTCAGTTCAGCAGAAGACCTTTGAATTTCTTCAAATTATTCTGCATACAAAAGAGGTCAGGGTTTTAAAAAAACAACTTAAAGAAATCAGAATTGTTCTATAGAATCAGAATGCTGAAAAATCTTGAAGCATTAAAAAAAAAATAACCCATCCTCATTAGACTAATAAATGATCTCTCTCTCTCTCTCTCTCTCTCTCTCTCCCTCCCTCCCTCCCTCTCCCTCCCAAATTGATCTAATAACAAAGGTAGGAACTTATTATAGATTTCATCTTCAATAAGACAGAAACAAAAGAGAGTAGGTTTTTGTCCTTATAAATTTATTTAGAAAAGGAAGGAGGAACTCCCCAGATTCAAGCCAGAAGGCCTTTGGATGCAGAAAGTCCACCCAACTTTGCAGTTGTTTTTCCAACCATCTTTACAATATGCGGGTTACTACCTCTATATTGCTGACAAGTGCCCAAGACAAAAAGTGGATTCAACAGTTAATTGAATCAAAATATTTTTCTCCTTTTTTAACTTAATGTGTTACATGAATTCAGCTAACTCTTATTTATCCAGCAAACCACATTTAAAAGAATCTATGGTCTAACACAATTTGTTCATCCAACCCAAAAGATGATCACCTGAGACCATTTAGTATATTCAAAACGTTTTCAAGGAATTTCTGGTTAAACTCCTGCTTTAAAGTCTCTTTGCCGCCATATTATTCTACCCCTAGTTTACAAGACTGCATTTTTATCATGTTTCCAGAAAGATCTGTGTGAAATTTTATCACTCGGTAGCTACCTTCTATTCTAATGCTTGGGCGGGGAGGGGGGGGGTTAGATTAGATAACCTACAAGGTCCCTTCCAATTCAGTTAATCTTTTAAATTGTTAATTATATTCTAGAGAGGATTAAACATGTTAATAATCTGTTGCAGCAAAGAAACAACAAAGAGACTCAGGGCATCTTAAAGACTGGCTGAGGTTCTATCTTAGTTTCATGGGTTACATCGATTTCAATATTAGTTAAAAATATTAGTCAAAATATCAATATTAGTCAAAAATATCAATATTAGTCAAAAATATTAGTTAAAGATCACTATCAAAAGGCAACATATATTGAATGCTGCTGATTCTCATCTGGCCCCCAAACTTTCCCTTCCAACTCAACTTACGTATAAGATTTTCCAGAACCAGTCTGTCCATATGCAAACAGGCAAGCATTGTATCCTTCAAAGGTCGTTTCTAGAAGAGGCATTGCCAAAGATTGGTATATTTCTTCTTGGCTTGCATAGTTAGGGCGCTTATCAACAGACCAGAATGAAAAGTCAAAGGTGAAACTGTATATTTGTTTTGTAGAAGGATGATGAACAACAGTCTCTTGTCCTTCCATTGAAACCACTTGGACAGATTCTTCACTTCTGTCTCTAAACAAAAACACAAAAGAAATGTAATTTGCAATGAGGTAAACACTCAATATATTAGATCTATAATAGTCGTGAAAACTAACAATTTACATTTATCTAGCTAATGTTCTAGGAACTACAGTGTATAGGAGGTTATATTTGGGGTGAGTTGTGAAAAGATTAAAAACTCTGTGTGATGACCCAGGGCAGGATACAAAATAAACACAGTCACACAAAAAACAGATGAAGCCCCTTTTATTCCTTCACTTTGCTTCCAAGCTCCAAATATCCTTGACTGGAGACAAAAAAACTCCCACACAAGCAGTTACAAAGAGGGGGAAATGCCGTTTAAATTATAAAGAGTAAAAAACAACACAAACCAGGCAAGATAAGGGCTTGAAGACGTCCACAGATATCAGAACACACACTGGGAAGGACGTCAAACTCAGATAGCAGCAATAAACTAGAGATATTTCCACTTTTTGTTTCTATCACTCGCCCACACGCATGCCCGTCCTCTTATCCAGTTGTCACAGCTGCATCCCATGAAGACCACGTCTCTCCCTTATTATCTACTCCCTGCATGCCCTAGGATGAAGAGGGAATGGGCCTGGGTCTCCTCTGACTGCCCAGCCGGCCTCTGCCCTTCCCCAGCCTTCTCCACAACCTCCGGATCCACACTTCCATTCCCTGTCCGCTGTTCCTCCTCTCCCTCAGAGTCAATCTCCACCAGGGGCATGACATTCTGTCATGATCAGGAATATCATTTTATAGTAGTTTTCACATTAGTATAACTTTCCTTTATGTGTTTTATCTAAACCAGAATAACAGACTAATAAGTTGTATCAATATCTTAAGGTTTTACACTATCAGAGCCATATAATTCAGATATGAAATGGTCTTAGATGAAATTATCTCAGGACCATCATGATGTAGTAGTTACACCTGGTACAAGTAGTCCTCAAGTTACAATTCATTTAGTGACCATTCAAAATTACAATGGCACTGAAAAAAGTTACTTATGATCGCTAGTCACACTTACGACCATTATTACATCCCCATGGTCATGTGAGCAAAATTCAGATGCTTGGCAAATAACTCATATTTACGATGGTTGCACTGTCCTGTAAACTTTTCCAACTTTCTGACAAGCAAAGTCAATGGGGAAGCCAGATTCAATTAACAACTGTGTTATTAAAATGAGCAACTGCAGTGATTCACTTAACAATTGTGGCAAGAAAGGTCGTAAAATGGAGAAAAAACTCACTTAACAAATGTCTCATTTAGCAACAGACATTTTGGGCTCAATTGTGGTCATAAGTCAAGGACTTTCTGTATTGGAAAGTCCCAGGATTTAATTCAGCTTCAATCAATGAGGCTCACCCGGTAACTTTGAGCAATCAGTATAAAATATATAAAATAAAGGTGAATTCACTAGGACATTTCAGCAGGTTTAGTAGGGAACAAAATAAATCTGCAGGGAAGGCAAAGAAGGGATGGTTTTTCTGCTGCCAAACCTGCAGTGTATTATTCTGCTGGAACTGGACTTGAATCACTAGTTCTATAAAATGTTAGGGAAGGCACCTAAACTTCTGAAGTTCAAAATAATACCGTGTTTCCCCAAAAATATGACCCACCCTGAAAAGAAGCCCTATTATATATTTGATTACATGCACTAAAATTAAGCCCTACCCCCCCAAATTAGCCCTAATTAAGACCCCGCCTACCCTGAGGGACAGGGGGTGGGACAAGGCACACAGGTAAAAATTAAGGTTGGGTGGAAATGGAGCGGTGGAGCTGCTCTACTTACCAGTCCTCGCACACCCTAACATCTGCCTCACCTTGCAGGCCCACTTCTTCTGTGGCCACTTGCTACCACTCACACCCATCACCCACAGCCTCCCTTTTGCCATCAGAGCCTTCCAGAAATCCCTTTGCAGCCAAGAAACGAGGTCTGATCCGGATTCCGGAAGGCATCTGAAGGAAAAATGGAAGCCAGGGGGTGCTGCGCATGTCAATTCAGAGCCAGTTTCTCAGCTCAGAAAGCTTTCTGGAAGGCTCTGACAGCAAAATGGAGGCTGGGGGCAACGTGTGCAAGCAGCAGCAAGTGACAACAGAAGTGGGCCGGCAGTGGGCTCCTGCTGGTCAGGGCAGATGGTGCGACCAGTGCGAGGTGAGCTAAAAACTAGACCCACCTGAAAATAAGCCCTAGCCATTTTTTTTCAGAGGTCAAAGGAAAAAAAGACCCAGTCATATTTTCAGTGAAACACGGTACTGCTAGAAATGGAATTGTAGTGCTGGTAGGTTTGGGAGCTAATGTGTCTCCAGCCTACCCAATACTATACAGATTCAGAATAGGTTGAAAGCAGACTTAAAAAACAAATATGGAAGCCACTACACTGCATTGCAAAAAGCTGGAGATTAACTTTGGTAGTAGACTAGAACAGTGTTTCTCAATCCCAACAACTTTAATTTATATATTTCAATTCCCAGAATTCTTTAGCCAGCATGCTGGATGGGGAAAATCTGAGAGTTGAAGTCTACAGACTTTAAAGTTGCTGAATTTCAGAAACCCATACTAGGGAAAGAAACAACAGGAATAAAATTGGATAACTCTTGTACTTCACTAAAAGGTTATCCATGATTATCATCATCTTGAAAGAAGACAGTGACTGGGCACAACTACAATGATCTGTGCAAAGACTTACCTGAAACTAAAGGGCCGTACTCTCACAGCCACAGTCACTTTACTATTTTCTATTTTAAAAGGGTTGTCTTTAAAGGGCACAGTCTGCTTTATGCTGTCGTCTTTAACTGAAGCAGCTCGTTGAGCACATGTGGTATTTTCTTGTATCTTTCCCATTTTGCTTAGAGTGAATGCAGCACAGCTTTCCTTTCGTGAGATTTGAGGGCAAGGCATCCTAGTTTTTAAGACAGAAGTAGTAGGACTCTTGGCATACTGAACAGTTGATTTAAATACTTCTGCTGTATTTTTCCTTGGTGTCTTCTGCCTTTCCAAATATTCATTTTTTGTAATATTATTCTGCCGGTTTTCACTTCCATTTGATTTACTGAACTTTCCAGATATTTTTAATGCTGATGGTTTACCATTAGGATTAGTTGTGGTTAAATGTAATAATCGAGAAATCTCATTTTGATTTTGAGAAGCAGCAGGGGTCCTGGGTTTTATGGGTGTGACATTCCCAGTAACATTACTATAATTTGTCTTCCCAGTAGCCTTAGTAAGTAAAATATCACTGTTGTTACCTTTGGATGAAAATGCAGCATTATTACTTTTCAGTGGCAAGTATCCAGGATTTTCTGTTTTAAGTTCAGAAATATTATTTGTCTTAGATTTTTCAGTTGATCTAGTTACAATTCGGGGCTGGAGGGTTAATCTTTTTTCCACTAGTGTACTATCACTGCCATGGATTTTATCTATATTGGATTCTCTTTTCCTCATTTCTCTTCCTCTTTGGAGAGTCAACTTGATTTCTGATGTATATGCAGGTAAAGGACTGGACAATTTGTTACAAGCAGAAACTACATAGGTTCTATTTATTTCTTTACTCTTATTCAAAAGTTGTGAAAATAAACTGGTTCTCTCATCTTCTAATACACGTGGTTTTAATTGTCCAAATCCAGGTGTTGAAGAGACATTTCCAAAGAGTTGTTTTTGTGAAGAGCCACCAAGCTCACTAACGTGGCTTTTCTTGGGAATAGAAACAATAGACATTAAGACTAAATACTATTAACTACAATTGTAGAACTGAAATTATCTCATATAAGGTCTGCCTGAAAAAAAGAATTGGCATCTAATCTCACTTTCAGTATAATGTAAACAAACATGTCATGACGGCATCTGTAAAAAGAAAAAGAAAAAAGGCATTGTTATTTTCAGGTAAAACAAAGAAATAAAATTCAGTAGGATTGTAGGTGGTAACACATGTAATCAAATAACTAATAATTCAAGCCTGTAAAATACCTGTTAAATTTCAAATAAGACTGCATTGCTAGAAAGGGCTTATTAATTGGTGGCATTTATTTCTGACTAAATCATATTTATTCATCTATTTCACAATATTTATAATCTTCCTTATTCCTAACTAATTCAAGTAGGGTACAACAAAGCTAAAGCAAATAAAATGATAAAGCATACAAAATTAACATATCACAATTTATGAGGATAATTGAGACCAGTATTTCTGTTACTAAGCAAGGCAGGTGTTAGGTGGTTAACTGAGTCACACTAAATTTTACCTTTTTTTGCCACGGTTGTTAATTGAATATGTGGACATTATGCAAATCCAACTTCCCTCCTTGACTTTGCTTGTCTGAAAAACGGCTCGGACAGTTGGAAATAGTAATCACATGACCCCAGGATGCTGGTTACCCAAGCACTCAAATTTTGATCACATGACTGTGGGGAAATTGTGATGGTTATAAGTCACTTTTTTCATTCTTGCTGTAGCTTCAATTACTAAATGAATGGGGGTATAAGTGAAGGACTACCTGTAATATCTTTTTTTAAGTCAATGATAAAATTAAACTACTGTAAGCTAACGTCCAAATTCACAATGTCAAGACTGTATGAAGGACAGGAATCTCTCTTCTTCCAGAGAAAGGATACTCCACAAAATGAGAGTCTCTACTGAAAAAGTGTATAGCAGACTGAGATGTGAAAAACAAAAATTCAATCTGCTTTTCTTTAAAAATGAAGAAACATGAAAAGCATTTTTACCTTTTAAATATAGTACTTCGGAATAGTGAATTCATTACAATATAGCAGCAAATTATGAATTGGCGGATTGCATGGAAGAGTTTCTGCAGATGTTATGATCAGGCTTACAAAACTTTTGTACAATTATGAAAGTTGTACAAACCCCAAAAATTGTACAAACATTGATCTCAGTGTTATTGAAATTATTTTTGAAAAGGCCCAAATCCACGATGTTGATATCAAATTATAATTCCTTAGAATTCTTGCATGCATTCACTGAATAAGGGAGAAAACAAAAACACCTGACAGAGTTTTCAAATTAAAGAAATCCTTCCTGAAGGGATTTAAAAAGTGTTTTTCAAACTTTAAGATGAGTGGACTTCAATTCCCAGAATTCCCCAGCCAGTATGAAGACTGAGGAATTCTGGGAGTTGAAGTCCACACATCTTAGTTGGCAAGTTTGAAAAACACTGAACTGAAACAAGGATAGGGACTTCTGAATGTCCGGTTGTGGCTAGCCTACAACTCCCACCATCTGTAGAGAGTACGGACGATGGCATTTGCACTCAAATTGCCTCCAAACATTTGGGAACCTTCCAGTTCCCGAATCCGGCATTAAAAGAAACAATAGCCGGGCTTCGTTTTCTCTGCCTCGGCAAGCTTTACAGTATTTCTCGCATGACAAGAAAGACTGCTTTAAAAGAGAATTTAATTAAAGAAGCGGAGGGCTATAGAAATCTAGCAAGTCCATAAACAATCCCTCGAGTAGAGAAGAGGAAGGCGCGTCCAGAAGTGACCTTTTCGCGCGTTACTGCTTACCTGCCCGTCGACATTAAACCAACAGACTACCATTTCCGCGGCACTTCCGACTCTCTTTTTCGAATGCGCCGCGATGCTTGCTATTGGTTGAGTTGGGTGGATGACATCACACGCGGCTCCGAAAGAGGGGAAGACTTGACATAGTCAAAGAATCTCCGCTAGGGCGCTATAAGCGATACCTCCGGTTCTGAAGCGATCTCTCTTCCCAATTTCAAGGGAACCGGATGAAAAATTAGAGGATGGATCAGGGTGGCGTTTTTATTCTTTTAACCTCTAACGGTAAAACTCAATAAAATTTCTGCTTATGCCCGAAATCTTCTGTAATAAAAATCACTGGTTTTGATAAGATGATGACTCTGCAACTGCGAAAGGGACATCCCAAACTTTATTTTAAATGTTTGGAGGTCTAGAATAACTAGCATATGGTCGAAGAGAAACGTATTAATTTCTATAAATATCTGTAGGAATAGTTATGTGTGTTAACAGATTAATAATAAATAATAAATTATTTGATGTACTTAAAGAGTCCATTGAAAGATAACATAAAATGTATTCCTAGAATATTTAGACTTCCTTAAATTGGTATGTGTGTCTGTGTGTGTATGTTTAAATTTCATTTCCTGATATGTTAGTTAAGTTATACAAGCTGATACCTAATTTCAGCTATAATTGGCTTCAATTGGCCTTGTGATTGTATACCAGAGGCTAATAATTAGATAACAGGGTGGTGTCACCATTCAGGCACTCCTATCTAGTGCCCAATTTTTAACAAGTCAACTGAGCCTTTCCATTTTTTTATAACATGCATCTTTCACTCCTCCAAATGTGCTTGAAAGACAAATGTCCATTCTACCCATGCAGATGATACAACAAGACTTTCAAGAATGCTGTGGTCTTTAAAACGCACTGATGGCCCTAGCAGTGTTGCAAAGAAATTAGCTGAAACTCAGTTATTAGAAAATTAAAATTAAGAACATGTTAAAATGTGTTGGTTCATAAAAATAAAATAACTAGTCTATATATTAATTCTGGGACATTGATCCAATTAAGGACAATATTTCTTAATTGGTGGAAGTCTACTTGTCTTCCTGCATACAGGTGAAACTCGAAAAATTAGAATATCGTGCAAAAGTTAATTTATTTCAGTAATGCAACTTAAAAGGTGAAACTAATATATGAGATAGACTCATTATATGCAAAGCAAGATAGTTCAAGCCATGATTTGTCATAATTGAGATGATTATGGCTTACAGCTCATGAAAACCCAAATCCACAATCTCACAAAATTAGAATATTACATGCAATCAATAAAACAATATCGGACCTCTGAAAAGTATAAGCAGTACTTGGTTTGGGCCCCTTTTGCAGCAATTACTGCCTCAATGTGACCTGGCATGGAAGCTATCAGCCTGCGGCACTGCTGAGGTGTTAGGGAAGACTAGGATGCTTCAATAGCGACCTTCAGCTCTTCTGCATTGTTCGGTGTCATGTCTCTCATCTTTCTCTTGGCAATGCCCCATAGAGTCTCTATGGGGTTCAGGTCAGGCAAGTTTACTGGCCAATCAAGCACAGTAATCCCATGGTCATTGAACCAGGTTTTGGTGTTTTTGGCAGTGTGGGCAGATGCCAAGTCCTGCTGGAAAATGAAGTCAGCATCTCCATAAAGCTTGTCTGTGGAAGGAAGCATGAAGTGCTCCAAAATCTCCTGGTAGACGGCTGCATTGACCCTGGACTTAATGAAGCACAGTGGACCAACACCAGCAGATGACATGGCTCCCCAAATCAACACAGACTGTGGAAAACTTCACACTGGACTTCAAGCATCTTGCAGTGTGTGGCTCTCCATTCTTCCTCCAGACTCTGGGTCCTTGGTTTCAAAGTGAGATGCAAAAGTTGCTCTCATCAGAAAAGAGGACTTTGGACCACTGAGCAACAGACCAGTTCTGGGTTTTTTTTAGCCCAGATAAGACACTTTTGACGTTGTTTGTTGTTCAGGAGCGGCTCGACAAGAGGAATACATTTGAAGTTCATGTCCAGGATCCGTTTGTGTGTGGTGGCTCTTGATGCACTGACTCTGGCCTCAGTCCACTCGTTGTGAAAATCCCCAACACTTTTGAATGGCCTTTTCCTGACAATCCTCTCCAGGCTGCAGTCATCTTTGCTGCTTGTGCAACCTTTTCTTCCACGCTTTTCCCTTCCACATAACTTTCTTTAATGTGCTTTGATACAGCACTTTGGGAACATCCAACTTCTTTTGCAATTACCTTTTGAGGCTTTCCCTTCTTATGGAGGTTGTCAATTATGGTTTTCTGCACAACTGTCAGGTCAGCAGTCTTGCCATGATTGTGATTCCTACTGAACCAGACTGAGAGACCATTTAAAGGCTCAGGAACCCTTTGCAGGTGTTATGGCTTAATTAGCTGATTAGAGTGGGACACTTTGAGCCTAGAGTACTGAACCTTGTCACAATATTCTAATTTTCTGAAATTGTGGATTTGGGATTTTCATGAGCTGTAAGCCATAATCATCTCAATTATGACACATCACGGCTTGAACTATCTTGATTTGCATGTAATGGGTCTATCTCATATATTAGTTTCACCTTTTAAGTTGCATTACTGAAATAAATGAACTTTTGCACGATATTCTAATTTTTCGAGTTTCACCTGTAAGCTCTTCAGATGGCAGCTAGGCACAATATGATCAGTATCTGCCAGGGAGCACTGCATTCACATTGAGGGGGGAAATATTCTGCCCATTTAAAGAGAGAGTCATGGCAGATACCATGTAAGTTGTGAAACCTATTCAAAGTTTTCCAGCAGTGGTGGGTAGCATCAAAATCTGCTAATGTTTTTGCATAGAATCAAAATCCAGTTTTCTTTCCACTGGGATTTTGCACCAATTAGTATTGTGCAACTACTGTGCAGGTATCAGTGGAGGGATCCTGGATTAAAGCCTCCCAATTGATAAGTATGGCATATCAGAGTTCACCGGGTTTTAAAATAGTTTGTAATTTAATATATAACTTCTTGAATTTCTCAGACCCTACAAACTTAACCACAATCTCCACATACTATTATATTCTTTCTGTACAACTTTACTGCTACCCATGTTTCATGCTATATGCTAAATAAATAAATAAATAAATCTAAGAGCAGTCTTTCAAATCCCTGTCTCTAAAGCTATTTTATAACTAAATCAAAGTAGACCCTTGAATATAGCTAGCCATAGTCAATTATTGGGCTCAGGCTGTATTTCTAGTCTGTAATAAAAATTGAGAGGACAAATTAAAAAGTCATGGTCTAAACTATTTTTTCAGATTTGTCAGTTTCCTTTTTTCCCATTAAAACTTTAAGTTTTATAAAACTAGGACAATACAAATTTATTAAACAAAATCTAAATAAAGAGTTAGATCACAGTAGAATAAAAATAACTTTATTTGAATAATTTCATTAAAAAGGAAAGCAAAATAGAAAGCCATTTTTCTTCTACAAATAAAAGATGTTTATGACAATTAAAAACTCATACAGCTTTATAACATGGGTTTTATAGAGAGTTCATTTCAGTTGATGGTTGGTTGATAGGTAGGCAGATATTATTTCTTGAGAAGTCTACAATGCTTGAAAGGTGAAATGAAAGAGAAGGATGAATAGCAACAAAGTGGACTCAATTACAGCACCAGTAGAAGACCTGAAGGACATGCTGGAAGTAGTCTCTGTGTTCGGTAAGAGTTGCACCAATTTGACTGCACAATCCAATCAGTGTATTTCAAGTTCAAGATCTGTATTCTTTGCCTTTTGAAATCCACTCTACCTCCACTGCAATCAACAATATTCATTTTAAGCTGTTTCCTACTGAGGTAAACTGTTGGGTCAGTCTTATCTAGCTTTCCCCAACTCGATTCCCTTCCATAGGCCTATGGAAGCATATACTTATTTGTAATAAATAAACTATGTGCAGAGATGTAATCCCAAGAATTCCTAGCCAACATGAATACTGCCAAGAATCTGAGGAATCAACATCCACCTAACTTGAAAGTATCCAGACTGGGAATGTCTGAGTGTAGCTCAATATTCCCTACTGGCTGGATGTTGCCTTGCAAAGATTTGGTAAGTTAGAAATCTCTTCCTGATCTGCCTCCATTAATTAACGATGGCCAAAACTAAAACTCTTATGTGTTAAATATGTATGCTGGTACAGTTCTTCTGTACATATGTTCATTCAGTCAGGTAGCCAATCTTTGCATGTTTTAATTTCAAAACATGAAACTCAGTGGGTACAATTACTCATTCTAGAGATTTCTCATTAATAAATTGAATAGGTAACTAACCCAGATGTTAATGGGAGAGAAAGAATAGCTCGCTCAGAATCACGATCTTTCTACCCCTTTTCAAATTTGGAGGCCCTTCCTGTCCAGGCAAGAAATCTAAAACATGTGAATTTAATTTATTTGCCCAATTAACTGTCAGTCTGAACTGGGATTGCAAATAATTACTTGTAAGAAAAAAAAAGATTAATCTCCCCTGTCCTATAATTGGCTTGCCCCTTAATCCTTACTAACGGATATAACTGAATAAATAACTTTCAGAAGTATTTGACCAGTTTGTTGTCTCAACATCTTTTGAATTTGAATTTAAATGTACATTTTAAGTAAGTTTAAGACTCTCAGATCCTTTATTTTAACTCATACTTCAGTTACTCTCTATGCTTCTTACAGTCTTTTGCTTTTCCAAATTCTAACCGCCCATTTTAAGAAATACATTCAGAACCAACTGCTTATTTTGCACAAAGCATTTCAGTTCATCAGATACATCTTAAATTAGATCATGACTGTTTAAATACTACCTTTATCCTCAGATTTGGCAGGATTAGTTGCTACTAAATGTATATATGAATCCTGTAATATTTGGTAACAGTGAATGAGATTTCCTGATTCCCTGTTTTTCTACATATATTGCACTAAACCCAGCCATTGAAAATACATATGTATTTTGCCATTTAACCTGAGGTCTAAGCCCTTAATGAAATACTATATAAAATGACCAAGGATAAGTCATTATCTCCAGTTAACAAAATTAATCTCTTGCTGAAATAGCACTCTTGATACCTCATAATTATGGAGATGTATAAACTACCATCTCCCACCAAAATTATCGGTCTAATTGAAAAAGAAAAATACCTTGCTTAGCTCTGTCATTTTGAATTAATAGGGCTATAAACTTACGTTTTTATTGAAGCACATCCATAAAAATGGATTAAAATTTTGCATATCAAACAAGTTAACATAAACAAATTATATTGTTAAATATAGCTTGTTACTTTTGAGATATACCGGTGCTTTTATCATGTTTTTTAATAATGTCCATAAGATTATCCCCAGTTACAAGATCATTCGGATGTTCTTTGCTCCTCAGCTGTTCTTTCCGCTTTTGGTCATGCAAATATGCTGAATTTAATAACTGAGGTGGGAGAATGGTGCCAGTTGGTTTAACTCGCTTTACCACATCCCAGAAAAGTCTCTTGCTGTTATTATTAATAAATGTAATTGCAGTTCCAGTATGACCCAGTCGACCTGCTCTTCCAACCTAAAAAAGGAAAAAGCAATGGTACTTAAAATCAATGACAAATGCTACAGGTAAACTATACAGATAGACCCTGACTTGCAGCCACAATTCTAATTAGAATTTCCATCATTAAGCAAGTCATCACACCACTGAACCTGAACATTAACAACAACCAATTCTATCATAAAAATTCAAGAAAATCACTGCAGTCCTTTACTAAATCATTCAGTTGTTACATGAATTAATTGTTAAATGAATTGACTTTGAAATAATAGAAAATTCTTGTAGCTTGGGTTTAAGATTTTGGCAGTGGTTTGCTCTCCAAGCTAGTTTCAATTTATTTTCTGAACGTTTCATTACCAGACTAGGTAACACCATCAGCAGGATGTTCTTCATCAATTACTTGACTGTTAATTAAATCTGGCTTCCACAAATGACTTTGCTTGTTGGGAGCTAAGTGAGGTTGCAAATCGCAATTACAGGGCCACAAGACGCTGCAAACCGTCTTATATGTGTGCCAGTTCCCAAGCATCAGAATTGCAATCATGTGACAGTGGAGGCAGTGTGACAGTGGTAACTTCAAAGGTAGGTCATAAGTCACCTTTTTTTAAGCTGTTGTTATTTCAAACCATCATTAAACAAACAGCCATAAGTCAAGGACTCTCTGTATAATATATAATTATAACTGATTACTAAAGTTTCAGTCATGAACAAAGGAATAATAGCAATAGCACCTAGACTTATATACCACTTTATAGTGCTTTACAGCCCTCTCTAAGCAGTTTACAGAGTCAGCATATTTCCCCCAACAATTTAGGTCCTCACTGCACTCTAACCACTGCACCAGAGGCTCCCTAATATGATACAGTACAATACAATACAATATTTCTTTGGTCAATGACCAATAAAATTTAAAAAACAAAAACAGAGTGTAGCAATTAGATACAATAACATACCAGCAATTAACAAAATAATTCACAGATGTTTATCATCATGTAAGGTAGTTCAGGGGTTTTTTTTATTTTTGGCCAGGATATGTGGAATAATTGACACAATGTTGCTCAGTGCATTTTAGTAAGGAAGTTATTTAAATGAATGTAACCAAAAGCCACTGGACTTCCTTAGTTTTTTTCTTGAAAACATTTCACTTCTTGGATGAGATGCAAAACATTTTCAAGAAACAAACTGAGTCCTAAAACTTGCCTTTTGAAAAGCACCTTTGGGATCACTGACCTGGATGATTGAGAATCTCCATAGACATTGAAATGAATGCTAGTTCTTTTACCTGATTCTTCAAAATGTGCTTGGAAAACTACAATTCATTGTTTATAGCTATACCATGATACAGAACATAGCTCTTTAGGCACTCTTTAAAATGTGTAATGTACTCAAGTGAACTTCTAATTTTAAAAGTCTTTCCTCTGCAGTCAAATTTGTATCATCAAGCACTTTATAAGACTTTTGAGCAATGACACTTTTTTGTTAAAAGATTCAATATTACACTACGCCTTTTAAATCAGAAAGTGTATTTACCTGGTGCACATATTCATCCATGCTAGATGGCATGTCAAAATTCACCACCAGCTTAATATTGACAAGATCAAGTCCACGCCCAAGGACTCCAGTGCTTACTACAACTTCATACTTCCCTTGCAATAATCCCTAGCACAAGGGAAATATAATCATTATTTTCATCGATAGAAATATACCTTTCAAAATTACAAAGGCATCAGCAAAAATTCTGAATACATTTCAAAGGAAACAAAAACAATAGCTGAACAATACGGAAAAACAAGGAACTATTTAATTTAATAAAAGCTGAAAGCATTTCCCGTGAGGCATTTCCTATGAAGTTAAATTCCCAAACCTGATTCCCTTTAACCAACATGATAAATCTTCAGATATATTTTATGTTATGAAAAATAACATTTATGTAAAACTCACTACGAGGTCAATTTCAAACACTCTACCTTGTAGCTGTATACTATGACTAGAGGAACAGTTCTCGAATATTTTAGTCTTAAGATCCCTCTACATTCTTAAAAATGACTGAAGACCCCAAGAGCTTTGGTTTGTATGGGTTGTAACTACTACATTGATATTTACTGTATTACAAATTAAAACAGAAATTTTGAAATATTTGACTTTGAGGACCCCTTACAATGTCTTAGGGAACCTCTGAGACCCTCAAATTGTACTTTGGGAACTCCTAGTTTAGAGTTCGTTAAGCCACTTTAAAGACATTTATAAACCCAGATGTTTACTAACCTGTAATATTGCAGTTCTTTCTGACTGTGATTTCTCAGCATGCATCGATGTTGTCTGTAAACCAGTGATTTTATGAACAGCATTACTCAGAAGATCAGCACCCAACTTACATTCCACAAATACCAGTACTGGAGGCTTAAAGAGTTTCTTATCCTAAAAAAGAAATGTGGGTGAGGTGGGGGTTGGGGGAGGACAAGGAGATGACAGTGAGTATATAAGGTGAAAACTGGAAGTTAAATATGTACTGAAAAAAAGGAAATGGAACAGTATGAGATTTAGCAGTAGTAAATAAAGCAAACAAATTATTCAACTCTTTTCCAATATTACTAAGCCTGAAGTAATAATGCTTCAAATACTTTTCAAATAGTAAAAAGAATGTAAATATCAGCCATTATTTTCTATTACTATAGTTTTTAAAAATGCTTTTAACAGCATGAGGATTTAGGTGATCTGACCTAATTGAGAGCTGTTTAAATTCTCACAGCCCAAAAGTTATGTGTTTTGGTTTCTTATCAAGGAAACAAGTCACAATATGAATTATTTTAACAGAGATTTAACCTGGAAATAAGGAGAAACTTTCTGACAGTGAGATCAACCAATGGAACAGCTTGCTCTCAGAAGTTGTAGGAGCGTCATCACTTGAGACTTTCAAGAAGAGATTGGATTGCCATTTGTTAGAAATGCTGTAGGGTCTCCCACTTGGGTGGAGAGTTGGACTAGATGACCTGTAAGGTCCCTTCCAACTCTGATTATCTGCTATCTGTTACTATGGACAGTATAGCATGGCGTGGTTTCTATTCAAACATAGCTAAAATGCCTTGGAGTATGACCATAATTCTTTGAATATTAGTTGTTGCTTAATTTAAATAGCTTCCACCATCACAGGTTCAGACACACACACACATATACATACACACATTATACACACACACACACACATATGCAGTAGTAATATGCAAGTCTAAATAACCAATAAGATTGATACTATCATTTCAGCAGACAAGTAGCTTGAGAGAGGAATAGATTTATGGTTTTAATGGCTACATTTCCAGGAACAGAATTGATTATAGCAATGGTTCAAACTCTTTTTCTCCCAATTATCTATAGTTGATGAAAAGAAACAAAGACTTGTTTTTCCATGAGGATACTAACATTTAATATTTCAAAAAGCTTTTTCTTTTTGGAAGGCTCTTCTACCCACAAAATAATCTGGCGAATATTGGAACACGGCAGATTCTTTTCTCCAACTGTTATTTTCACTGGATTCTGCAGAAGTCGGCTTGCCAGCTCTTCGATGCTTAAAGGCATTGTGGCTGATACCAAGATGGACTGATGATCATTGGGAATATTTTCCAAGATTTCTAACACTTGCTGCTGGAAGCCCATCTTTAGCATGGTATCAACCTATTTTAAACAAAGAAATGGATTAACTAGTGTTTGTTTTCTTCCTGTTGAAGATGAGTGAAAACATTATTTTACATTCTTTTGCAACATTTATCTGGGCTTTCAGATCAGCACTTCCCAAACTTAAATACTTCAGTATTGCAAGAAGTTCATCTCCCAGCAATATCATGCTAGCTAACTAATGGTTGTAGTGGAAAATATATATTACAGTAATGCTTATTTGAGTAACAAAAAACAAATGTACTTCCTGGCTAGGAAGTACATATTCCCAGTATCTTGAATTATGTCTCTTTTCTGCCCACTGTTTCTGTCAACATTAATTATGTTGAACAGTCCAGCATGATGGGACATTGTTTGAAATTTGGTCTATTTCAATGACCAACAAAGTAGATGAAAGTAACCCTTTTATGCAATCAGCTGTCTCTTTGCCAAGAAGATCTTCAGTTGTAATTTATAACTGCTGGAACATATGTTAAAAAGTAGACAGATGAAAAGGTCTTGAGATACTATGAAATTACATGTCAAGCGAAGTTAACCCAAATATGCTAAAAATTTAATCATGCATAAACTACAGTGTTAAACTGCAATATTTTGCCCACCATGGTCTACAGTGCTTAGTTACAATGCAGAAAAAAGAGTCATTTAACCTCCCTCCTCAAAATAGAAGTCATTACAGTAGTGACTATCCACACACATATATTTTTTGAAAAATAATACACACTTACTTCATCAACAACAGCAATTTTAATATTATGAAGTTGAATAGAGGATTGCTTTAGAATTTCTCGGAGCCTTCCAGGTGTTGCTATGATTACCTAAAATAAAGACAGGAAATACAAATAATAGAAAATAAATTCATTGTTATTACAAATTCCAACAAATGTATTAAATCAAGTATCCAAGGTGAGAAAATGTTTAAATTTGAAAAACAGGGTTTTTCACAGCACATAAAACATGCAATTATTTAGATTTGCTTGGACACGGATGTACTGGTTCTGAGGACGTAGTTGAGACATGGACTGATGGGATTATCTGGGGAAAATTTGATTCTATTAGTCATGAAAAAAGGACAGATTCCTTGGACCTCTTTGCCCACCAGTATTTGAGATCTATGCCCTTCTTTGGCTGGAATGTGGCTGCATCCAAAAGTGAATACTTTAAGAGAAAAAGTGATGCTGCCTGCATTGAAGGAAGTTGAAGAAATCATTTGGGGACCAAACTGTGCTGGATAACTTCTCGCCTATCTTTATTTTCATTTTAAGGGATGGTTGTTAAGAAGGGTGTTATGCTGCAGGTAAAAGGGCCTAACATTGATCACATTTGTTATTGACCTATGGGAAACTTAGGTGGAAATGGTACATCAATCCTGGTTCTCCTTAATCTCCCAGGAGCCTTCAATACCATTGATCAGCTTATCTTTATGGACAAGGTCAGGGGGCTGGAAATGGAGAAGAGATCTAATCCAAGACTCTTGCTTTATGGGGTAGCTGGTATTATGTGTGGACCTATCAATGTGCTGGATCAGCTGAAGCTTCTGAGTGAGCACTAAGGGCAGACCCATGTAGAACACACACTGCAGTAATCCAATCACTAGGACAGTGATGGCTAACCTTTTGTCGGTGTGCCGAAATAATGCAGTGCGTGTGTGACCTCCCCCGCCCCCTGCGCATGTGATCCCCCTGCACGCACTGCACCTCTGCGCATGCGCGCGTGACCCCATGTCCCAACCCCCTGCGCATGCGCGCACGTCTCCCACATGAGCCCCACCCCTCATGCATGCACGGCAGATACCCGACAATCAGCTGGCGGGAGGTGCACACGCATGCGCAGTGGATCTGTTCTGAGGGACAGCTCACATGCCAGCAGAAATGGCTCTGCGTGCCACTTCTGGCATGCGTGCCATAGGTTCGCTATTACGGCACTAGGAGATTAAAATATGAGTAATTTTGAAGAAAACCTCCAGATATAGGAATGGATACAATCCATGTACAATATGGAGCTGTGAAAGGCCCTTCAAACCACAGCTGTTACTTAATTCTTTGAGCAAGAACTGAGACCTACAAGAAACTGCATTACTGTCAGCAATGTTAGAGGGTAAATATCACAAAATTCTCTATGCTAAAAGGCTTTGTCTTTGTAAAGATGAAAACAATGGAACATGGACTACCTCTTGCTTTACTGCAACTTTTATAATATCACAGTACTGTATTTTGTTTTACAAAGTTTGGATATTTTACTCATAACAAAGTTTTAATTAATTTGCTGAGTTGAATGAATGAACGAAGAAGAAAAAAAAGTTTTCTTTTTCTTTTATGGTCCAGTTTTGAAAATAATTATCTGCCATTCTGAAATTTGCCAATAAAATAGAGACACCATTTCAATCAAGTTCTCTGACTTTTATGCCATTCCAAACATAAACTGCATCAAATGTTCATTCAAACCTTAAGGATATAACGTAATGTTATTTACCTTAACATTTTGCTTCAGGCGGTGAAGCTGGGGCGGTAAAGGCAATCCTCCAACCAGAAGAACAGTTCTCATATTCGGCAGACCAATCATAAGCTCTTTAGCTTGCTTCTCTATCTGTATAGCTAATTCTCTTGTTGGTGTCAGAATAAGAGCAGACAAAGTGTCAGTCTTAAAAAGCACAAAAAACAAATAATAGGTTAGTGATTTTTCCTTTGATTAAACTTTTCAGAAAAATAAAATGTGAGAGGGTTAATTTATATCAAACCAACAACACCATCACTACATACGTAGTTAATCTAGTGACGTCAGTAGTTATGCCATGTATAACATATTACGGTGGTACACACCAATATTCTGTCTTAAGTGCAGAAATGAGAGCAAGTGGAAGGAAAGGAGTCATTTGAACATGGGAAGGAAGATTTGCTCATGCTTTCACTACAATTATACTTTTTTTAAAAAAAAAATCCAGTTTTCACAAGCATTAATATTTCAACTGCCCAGGTATAAATTTCTTCCACAGAATACGTTCAGGCGAGCATCATAAATTTAATCACACATTTTAAGTGAGATGACAGGAAGACAAAACCTATTTTTTTTAAAAAAAGTTTACATGTATAGTTTCTCTGGCAAACAACACAGTTTGAGATCTTATGCAGAATTTTTCAAACGCTTTGGAATGCTCTGAACAAATCTTCCCAATAAACATGAATTCTCTCAATGAACAAAGGTTACCTCTTCTGAAGCTTTAATTATAACAGGAAGCAGGAAAGCTGCAGTTTTCCCTGAGCCAGTGTCAGCAGTTGCTACAATATCCCTGCCCTGTAACCCAACTGGAATCATCTGCATCTGGATAGGGGTTGGGACTTCATAGCCTGCTTTTTTTAAATTGCTGCTGAGAACTTCTGGGAAGCCACAATGTTCAAACTCAACAATGGGTCTTGCAACTCCTTGCCCTTCAACAGCTATGCCCAGCTGCTGTTTTAAACTTTCGATCTGTTCATCCTCAAGACTTAACAGGAATTCATTCTCTTCATACACATAAGCAGCATCAGGGAAGGTGGGCTGAGAGATGGCTTGTTCACTCTTAGTAGGCTTTAAGCTTTCCTTCTCCCCTTGGAGTTGTAGAAGGTGCTTGGCTTTACATTCCAAACTACATACATCTTCATCAGTCTTGTCACAGATGTACTCCCCATACCGACCACAGACCACACATAGAGGTTCCCCAGACTGTGGCCAGCGTTGAGTTTTACTAAAAGATTTTATGGGTTCTTCTGTATCACAAGAGTCCTCATTGTTTTCTGACACTGATTCAGTAAGGGCCAGAGTTGAATCTAAAAATATCTGTGGCACACTATGTCCTTCTACTGATTTCAATGAATCAGTCTCAACAGTTGCTGCATTTATGATGTCAGACCCCAAATCTCTGAGTTCTGTAGGCTTTTCAGATGCAGATTCATTATGGGAAGACTTGGGGTTTTTTGGGACACAACACTCCTCATGAGCAGCATTTCTCTTGACTTTGAGAGATCTGGGAACAAACATTCTTCAAGAACCTATCATGAAAATATACAATCATTAGAATTGGCAATGTTCTGACAAATTAATATTATTATATGATTCAGCAAGGGCAACAGGAAACTCAAAGAATAGATTATTCTCTATTTGTACAGGAGCAAGTTTATTTGAATTGGAATCATATAAGCTGTGGTTAGAGTCTATTAATTTTATCATGTGAGAGAGTTATTTAAACTGGAATTCATGGATCATTTTACAGCATTTAAATAACATTTAGAAAAGTAGCATAGTGGTGAGTTAATCTTGCAAGTAAAACCCATTACCTTCTAAGAGATGGGTTTTTTTTAACCAAATCCATCCATAAATATTTTTCTGATAATGGAAACAATGAACATAGTGTTGGATTGGTTTTCTTTCTTTCTTTCTTTCTTTCTTTCTTTTTTTCTTTGTTTGTTTGTTATGGAGCTATGAAGGGCTGCAAAGGCTCCAGTTTCAACGGAGGAATAAAATATAACTCTGGGAATTTTGCTGCAATAGTTACTTAACTATCAGAGGCTGAGGAAAGAACATTGTGCCATTAAATATAAGGCATCCTCCATTGCTTTCTGGACAATGCTCATAATTCAGTATTAGTTTAAATGACTGAGGCAAACATTTATTTCTAAATTAATAGACTGTCTCACAGTCTAAAATTAACAATTTGTTTCTTAAAGCAACTCAGTACTATACCAAATCAGTATATATTGTTCTTCAAATACAAAGCACCCATTGCTTGGCAGCAATACAGTCATAACCCAAGGTCATTTTGATTGAAAATAAAATAATATTTATATCAGTGGCTAGTAAAACTGAGGCCCCACTCATTTGTTTCCAGCTCCAAGTCTCACTCTGGTATTTCCTCCGCTCCTCATACTACATGCATTAAAAAGTTGTCCTGAATTATAAATTATCTTAATGTCAGTTCATTCCCACTGAGCCTCTGAAATAAGATTTACAAGTTGAGTGACTAAATCAGCACATTCTCATGTTAACCCAAATGTTCTCTTTTGCTTCACTGGCTGTTTCTTTCTCTGAAATTAAAAGAAAATCCCAAATGTTCACACAGGCTTTCTTTATTATGTGACCTCTCAAACTGACACAGAATAAATGAACAGTGATCTTTGTTAAAACTACATATTGCTGATCCCATGTTTTCAGATGGAGAGAAGATAGGAATGGTTGTCTGCACCTTTAACTTTCTCCTTTACTAATGTTATTTGATAAGTTGTTTTTAAACAGATTGTGTGTAGCAGTTAATATCCCGCTTACAATTTCCATAAAAATGGTTCCAAGAAAAATGAGGAAATAACTAGCATTAAAATCATAAAGACCAACAACTTCTAAATTAGACTCACTACTTTGTCAATTAATCAACTTTACATTTATTACAGGTATCGTGAGTTTTGATTTACAGCATTTATAAAATAACACTGCTGAGGAAAAAAGACAAAGGGCTGTCTTATGTAATATATGCTGTTCTGAATGAAAATAAGGTAGGCCTTATTTTCATTCTTATTTTAATCCGTTCTTTATCAGAGCCAGGTTTGTGGACCAACAGGGTTAAACCTAAATGGAAAATGAAATTAAATGTGCTGAAAAGAAATGTCTTAAATTGAGACGGGGATATTCTAAAAATAAAAAATCAGCTGAAGCCCTGGAGTCATATTCTGTGCACCGCAGGTTAATGTATTAATCAAATATGTAACATGTAAATTAGACAGACAGCCGCCCACAGATCAGGGTCAAAGCAACAAAACTGCAAAGCAGTCATGCCATAAGAGCAGTAGCACTTAGACTTATATACTGCTTCACAGTGCTTTTACAGCCCTCTCCAAGCAGTTTACAGAGTTAGCATATTTATTGATTTGATTTGATTTGTCAAACGCTTACAATATAATAGAAATAATAAACATAAGTATAAATGCATGAAATAGGTACGAGTAATTGGGGACAATAGAACAGGGACGGTGGGCACGATTGTGCACTTATATATTGCTCCCAACAATCTGGGGCCTCATTTTACCAATCTCGGAATCCTAAGCAACTAGGCTAAGAGATTTAGTTTTAATTGAAAAATAACTCTCAACTTTAACAGTTGCCAACTTACTGCAAATCAGCCCATAGACCTGTCATCAAGGTATCTCAAGCGATTCTCCCATCGGATCCGATACTCTCCCTAGCCTAGCACATCTCCGCAGAGATATACAAAGCGACCCAAAAAGGCTAAGCGTCGGTCCAATGTAAAAGGCAGAATGCAAGCAAAGTGGGGGAAGGAAGTTTTTGCAACAGCAGCGAGCGACGCATCCGATTTCCCGTGGAAAGCTTCCTTAACGATCCTACCACAAAGTCCGTCCTCCAGCGTACAGGACACTGAGATCTCTACGCTTCCTCCAACACTTAACTTGCCGTTCTAGCCGCCGAGACGGCGCCTCGGATTCTCCGAGATGGAAAAAAAGGCTGGTGTTTCGCGGCCTTCATTTCCGGTTCCTCTTGGAAACGCGGGCTGCGTCGTGAGCAACCGCCGCGGCGTCGCAGATGACTTCTGCATCAAATGCGAACGCGTTCTTTTTAAGCAGGCAAGGTTTCCTTGGAAGCTCCTGATGTGCAAACCAAAGGCACGTTTTGTCTTCTGCAAAAGCCTGCTAATTCCTTGCTTTTCCGAAGCGGCTGGTGCTTGCATGAGATGGAAAGACCGCTGGAGGGCAGCAGCAGATCAAACGTTACTATGTTGCTGCTCCCTCTAGTGGCCGTTTGACGTTTTGCAACCCAGGCGTAATATTCCTAACAAAGAGGGGGTGGGGGGAGAGGATAAAGCGGTTGTCGCCTTCCATAAGCGTTTCATTTTGATTAATCATAGTACACATCGCTCCACACCACAACGTGACATTTAGCTTCCTGTAGTTCCCTAGGGACGCTCAATGGCTCCTTTGTTCTCCCAAATAACAGAATAACAGAGTTGGATGGGACCTCCACGCCCCTGCCCAAGCCGGCGATGATCCTCTTGTCACTGATGCACGCAAGCAGATTGAACCCCTAGGATAGGTTTGCGTGCAGTTTAATTTGACCCCGCCTATATTCCATGCCCACTGTCACTTCTCAACTGTTTATAGAGCCCCTGCCTCTTTGATGGGGAAAACAGAAGGAGCATCACTCACTAAATAAGGCAAGGCGACAGAGACATATGTGGAAGACAGACTTCAAACAGTGGGAGAAGAAAGAAATACATTTTGAAGATTTTTTTCCCCTTTCTCAAAGAGAAAATACTGCAAAGTATATATTGCAATGGGTCTGAGACAGGCTGATTAATTTGTTTTTAAAATCGATTGGTCTTTCCAGTCAATGGGCTCTACTCAAAGTTTGTCTAAGTCAGAAGTCCCCAAACTTGGCAACTTTAAGACTTGTGGACTGGAGAATTCTAGGAGTTGAACTCCACAAGTCTTAAAGTTGCCAAGTTTGGGGACCCGGGGTCTAAGTTGTGCCACTAAAATCAGTGAGTGAGATCTATGAGATTCAGTCCTGTGGATTTCAGGGAGACAAATCTATTTCAAGGTCTATTCTAAACAGTCAGGACTGCCTTTGACCCCTGACTTTAGAAAGCAAACAGCCAACTGTTAAGCTGCTCAACAGTGCTGAAGCGCTTAGTGGAACTTCTATAACAAGAGGCAACCCACATTCAAAGATCCATGGCTTTCATGCAAAAAATGACAAACAGGCAGCTTTAGTGATTGGTTTGGTAGCTTCCTAGAGACATTTGTGTGGCCTGAGTGTGGGTCACAAAGGTGGAGGAGCAAGTGCCCTTTGATAGGAGGATAAGAGAGATGGGTCATCTCCTTGGGCTTTATGACTTCATCCCTGCAAGCTAAAGTGTCAGTTATTGTCAGTGACCAGTTATCAGAGTGAAGATGCCTTCCTGGAAGTCAGTAGCTCTTCAGAATTGCTCCTGGAAGCTTCCCTCCTTTTGTAGCCAACTCTCAGAGGGGTAAGTGAGAGTGAGTTTGAGTTAGGTTTAAGGAAGGGGTGAGGGTGAGAGGGTTTTAGGGGAAGGATGAGAGAGTGAAAGGGGGAGGGACAGTCTAAGAGGAAGAGTGAGGGTCAGGGGAAGGGGGACAGGAAGGCTAATGGGTATGGGGAATGGGAGGAAGAAAAGGTTAAAAGGTAGGAAATGAGCGGGGGGGGGGGAAGGGAGATGGAGAAGGGGAGGGGACAAAAAGGTGGAGTAGGATGGATAGTAGAGGAGGGGGACAGGACAGGGAGAGAAGGAAGAGGGGGAGGGGATATAGAAGGGAAAGGAGAAGGAGATGAAGTGGAGTGGACCCAATAAGAGAGGGGAGGGAAGAGGGACATGACAAGTAGAGAAGGGAGAGTAGTCATAAATAGATGTGGGGATGTGGGGATGTTAATGCCTTTATGACTTCATCCATGCAAGCTATTATCAGGGGTAAGGGAAAGGGAGGATGGAGAGGAGGAAGAGAGGGTTAGGCAAGAGAGGGAGGGGAATAGGGAAGAGGAAGGGGTGGGGGGACAAAGAAGAGGTAGATTGAGCGCAGAGAAGTAGAAAGGGGAGACAGAGGAGAACAGCAGGTAGGAGCAGGGAGGGGGTTATGCTGTGTTTAAGACTTCATCCATGCAGGTTATTATCAGAGGGAAGGGAGAGGGAGGTTGAGGGAGAGGATGAGGCGAATAGGGATGAGAGGGGGGGAGGAAGGAAGGGCATGGGAATAGGAAGGATGAAAGGGAAGAAGACAAAGTGGGCCAGGGAAAAGCTCAAGGGGAAGGAGGGAGGGGAAGGAAGTGAGATAGGGAGGAAAAAGTTGGGTAGAAATATATGGATGGGAGGGGGGAATTTTAATGTTTCATAACTTCAACCATGCACGTTACCAGAGGAAAGGGGAGTGGGAGGGTGAGGGAAATGAGAAGGAGGGGATAGGTAGGAGGAAAGGGAGGGGAACAAAGAGATTGAGTGGGACAGGGAGGAAATTCATCTCGCCTGCAAATCTTGAGTTTTACAAAACTTTTTAATAATGTGGTTTTTTGAGATTTGTGCCACTTGGACGACATAAGTATTCAGATTCAGGAAGGAAAAAATGAAAATCTGGATACCATAAAGGCCATTCACTTTATTACTGCATAAGACTGAACTGTGGTCTCTTGACCTGTATGCATTGGTGGGATTCAAATAATTTAATCAGTTGTCTGCCCTAATGACCAGCTGGGTGAGCATGGCCATGGTGGGTATGGCCAAGGGGTGTGACAGGCAGCACTTGGCCTCCTGCACTCCCCTGAGACCAAAAATGGGCCACGTGGGGAGGGGCACCGACCCCCACTCCATTTGGGGCCAAGTAGGCCTCCCTGCAGCCCCCTGGGAGCAAAAACGGGCCACGGGAGCCACGCCACACATCCCCGCACCACATTTTGGGCCTAGTGGGCCTCACTGAGACCCAAAACGGGGCACGTGAGGACTCCTGAAAGGGGTGGGGAAAGGAGGGGCCAGCCAGCAATTTAACAACTGATTCGGCCAAAGTGAGAACTGGTTGAATCCCACCACTATCTGGATGATGATGATGATGATGTGTCTTATCGCAACATAGAAACTATCTTACTTGTTTGGTTTGGTGATCACATATTCTAAGTGTTATATGTATGTTGTATTTTAGTAAACCCTAACAAACAAGAACTTAGTTCTTGGTGATTGCTTGTTTACATAGTGTTCATGGAACGTGCATAATTGGTTTCCTATTGCCATTTTCTAGAATGTTCCAAATTCCCAGTTTTGTCTGTAAGTCTGGGATTTCTTGATGGAAATTTTCATAACCAACAGCAGATCTGATCATGTTTGGCAGCTTGTCGACTAGGTGCCGCCCTCCAACTCTAGATTAATATTCCCTACTTAAATTCTGTTTTCAAATGAGTAGACAACCTATTTAGCGGGTACTGTTTTTGATTGCCTAAATGGAAAAAAGGCTATGAAAGTAGAATTTATTGCTCAATTGTATCTCAAATCAATCTGTCCTGCTCTCAAGTTTCAGTGCTAAGAACTGAACATTCTACTTCCTAGATTTCTCTAAGCCTTTAAAGAACAGTTGCAGAATCTCTGAGAATATCCAGATTCCTCTTCATTTTTTGCATATCATATATATATGATGCCTATATTCAGGCATCCTGAAGCCACACTGTTGGAGTATCCCGGGTTTAGGTTCTGGGGTGATTTCCAGGCCTCCCCAAAATTAATAATTGGCAGGCACCTTTGGAATCTCCATCTCATTCAGTCCTTGAATGTCCCTCAGTTCTCTATATGCTGCAATCTTTGTTCAAGAGCAGTCCAGATAAACCTATACATACATAATTATTATTTGTCTGCTTATGAATTTTAATGTGTAATAATAATGAGGGACTATATAGAGTCTGATGGCTGAATCCTGTGAAGTGACAGAATTATACTAATATACAACTTTCTAGATAGAATTCTTCAACTTAGAGCTGTTTTGTTTTTTTTACAAATCAAATGTTTAAATATAACTTGCTGGTAGGGAAAGCTAGTTATCACCTTATGTGGTTCATGAATGTGGGGAAATAGGCTGGCTGTTGCCTAGGAAACCCACATTTCTTGTAACGAGTCAGTTAAAGGTGCTATTGCACTCTTTATATTTTTTTAACCATGTTTCTATCTTGAGTTGTTGAACAGCGGCAGCTCTAAACCAACTGTACACCTTCCTCCTTCTCTCTAGTTTCTTATCTTTAAGAAGCATATGGTTCTAACTTAATATGAAGAAAGCCAATAGGCAAAGTTTTCTATATACCAGAAAAGAACCATGAACACACTAATTATAGATATAGCAACATTCTAATTTTAAATACTTTCCATATGTTAGACAGTGATGGCTGTATGTTACCGTGTTTCTCATATAATAAGGCCGGGTCTTTTTTTTTTTTTTTTTGAGCCCCGAAAAATGGCTAGGCTGTCTTTTCGAGGTGACTTAATTTCCCCCCCCTTGCATCTTCAGGCGGGTGGGCGGCGACGGCTTGGATGTCGACCTCGGCATTGGTGGGGCACTTCATATCAGGGTCAACGCAGGCAGCACCATATCCGGGTGTGCAACAAAAGTACTTCCTAATGGCAAGTCCCCCACCCCTATTTGCATGTTTTAATATAGACCTTGATTTGGGGAGAGGGGCTTAATTTCATTTCATGGCTATAAAACATGCTGGGACTTCCTATTGGGGGAGGCCGTATTGTTGGAGAAACAGGGTAGGTGTCACATTTATAATGCTTATTTGATGTTCCCTTAACTACAATTGTTCATTCAGTCTTTGGAGAAT